ACACACGCCCCTTCCTTCCATGTTGCCCGTCTGCGCTTGCTCTCCTCGCCTTACCTGCCAGCCTCTGTCTTGCCGACAGGCGCAGGCGCATGCGCAGGAGTAGGAGCTGGAGCCCTTAGATCGTCGCCTCCTTGCCGTAGTGCGCACAACATAGTTGTATGAACACACCGGGGAGAGGGAGGAAGGACATTGGGAAGGCGGCGAACATCCAAGACACGCGCTTACTGACATTCAATGCGGTCTTAAGTCACTGCGCGCCGACTGCTAATTACATCAACACCGGCGGCTCGGCCAATGGTCCACAGCCGATATCGACTGACGTTGCCCGACTCCCGGCATCATCATCGATTTTGTCTGGACCATCCGATGCATACCCGAGCAGGGAGAAACAGAGGCAAAACCCTGCGCCAGGCTTCAAAGCGAAAGATGCGGAAGCACCTCAGGCGCACGCACGCCAGCTCAGCTTTGATACAAGCGCATCGAAGACCCTTGGTTTCCTTCGAGCCACATTTACCAACTTGATGTCAGCATTCGGGCCTCCTTCATTTGTCGCTTACGCCACCCGCCGTCGCACCCATTTCGAGCCTGTCTTGGACCCCCATCTTGGGCCAGACGGTCTGTCCGATTGAGCGGCCATCTCGACGACCTGAAGTTCCGGGAGGGGGAGGGGGGAAGCAGGGATTATGGTGTTTAGTGGACATGGCAACGTGGAAGATGACCGGGACGAAGAAAAAAAAGAAGAAAAAAGTTTTCGAAACCCCCCAACTCCATCTAGCCTTCTTACTAGGATCTTGCCGACAACCCCCTGTCATTTGACACCAGCCTTGTCTATCATCGGCTTGCCAATTTCGAACGTCCCTAAAAAATAAAAATAAAAAGGCTATGGGGCCTTTTTTTCGTCCTCGCTTGCTGGCATGTCCTGGGCCGAATTTGGATTGGGGCATGGAGTTAGCCCCGCCTGAACCCTCAGACTTTTGTACTTGCACCATCAGGTGCAGAGTGCCTTCGGCTCTGTCGTCGAGGCTTTACTGTGCTTCATGCTATCAAGCCAAGGTACCATCTAGCAGAGGCCAGGGTACATGTGGACTCCAGCCGAACATGCCGGTGTGTATAGCAGTCTCGACGCAGCAGCCCGTGGCTTCTTCGGGTCAGGAACGCGGATCATCTTGACGGTACTCCGTACTCATGGCCGGCTAATGATCAGTGATCAAGTGACCCGAAGATCGCCGGGGGGTTCGAACTTGAGCCGGCATTCCTAAACTGATTTCCAGGTACGCGATGGCACTGACGGGGGGAGCATGCTACATCATCTCGCCACCCAATTTACAACATCAATGTATACTGGCAGTGTACGGATACTCCGTACAGCTATGTTGGATCTCGGCTGAGTGCTGACATGAAGCACTGCTCCCTCGTCATCCACTGTGTCAAGGTGTATTCTGGGGATTGCAACCTCCACTTCCCCGGAGCGCCTCGCCCAAGAGACATTTCGCGTGCTCTTCGGTTTGGGCAAAAACAGTGTCAAACATGTTTTTCGCACGCACATGGTCCACTGTTCCATTTCTGCATCTTTTCCCATATTCCCGGACAATCAGCACCCATTCCCAAACCCGTCTCGGTGTGTCAGTCTCCAAAAGTACTGGAATGCATTCATTATCCAGCTCTTGGAGCCACGCAGTCAATTCCTTATGTCTGGTTCTTAACGAAATACAAGAAGCGTCGTTTTTTGGGGATCGCCGGCCGAGTGTCTTCGCCGCCTCTCGCCTCTGTCAAGTTCAGTTGCCTCGAACCGTTCCTTGGGCCAGACCATATGGTGCGTGTCTCTGGTCCATCTTCGTGGACGATGGCGCAAGTTGCTCTCTCTGCTCTCCCTTGGGTCCCGCGGGAGTGACTGGGGGATGCTCTCGTCACTGACTGAGACGTCCCCCTTGAGTCCGGAGAGAGACGCATCATGCCGCCTTCTGGTCTCTTGGTTTACGCCAGACGACTCGTTTGCAAACTCGCTTCTCCTCGTCCTCGTCCTCCACTCGGCGAGTCTGCCGAGCTTGCTTGACCAATCAGTCGACCACCACTCACGGCGCGCGCGGCGTTCAACCACGCCGCCAGGCCGTTTTGTGTTTTGTCCGTGTTCGCTGTTTCATGCCTGGCTGCTGGCTGCGGATAGGCAAGTCGCAGCAGAAAAGACAGCATGCAGATGGATGGATATATAATGCGCTCCTTCCCCAAACCTCCCGTGCCGTGAGTGGTTCCTCTCATCATTGCCGCGTCGGTGGACAAGAAAAATCGGACAAATAGCATCGAGGTGGGTATCGGTGTGCTTTGTTTTGTCCGTCTCCTTCCACTCTCCTCTCTCCGTCTCTCAGCTCTCCCCCTCATTTGATACACTCGCGCTTGCACCCCGGTTGTCGGTCTGGATGCAAGCTGCCACACTTGCATGTTGGGTGCGTGCATGGGCTTGCAGGTTTGATAAACGCTTGCGCAGCGCAACATAGCATACAGAGCATAGCGTAGCGCTGCGCTGCGTTGCGTTGCGTTGAGCTAGTACGACGACTCTCCCACCACCGCTTGGGTACACTCCACACACCTTTCCCTCTCACTCTCACTCACTCTCACTCACTCTCACTCTCTCTCTCTCACTCTCTCTCTCTCACTCTCTCTCTCTCTCTCTCTCTCTCTCTCTCTCTCTCTCTCTCTCTCTCTCTCTCTCTCTCTCTCTCTCTCTCTCTCTCTCTCTCTCTCTCACTCTCTTTCGCTCTTTCGGTCTTCACTTCCCTTCCGTTGAGTTTCGTCTGCATGATACCTTACTCCAGCTTCAGATTCACTCTATGCTTTCCATCCCTGCCTTCGTCATCCCCTCTGAACAAACAAACAGAAGCTGCGCCCGCCCAACTCGTCTATCCCACGCAGAGCAGAGCAAGCTACCGACACCGGTGTGCTGCAACTCCTGCTCGATACCGGCTGCACAGTACAGTATGTGCAACTCCCCCCCACCTCACACACCCCCCCAAGTACGGAGTACACATACAATGTACCATACAAGCATAGTTTGGCGAGGTACGTACCACCCCACGCCGTCCGCACGTAAGGAGCTGCCTTGCAGCACTACGCGGTGTGTAGTGGGTGCACTTGGTGGTGCAAGTACCTGGTGGCGTGCCGGACCATGGCAAAGTACTTTTTGCGCATACGCAACAGCACAGCATATTTTCACTTGCTGCCTTTTTCCTTGCTGGTAGTACACTAGAGCCCAGTCCAGCTGGTCCAGTCCAGTCCAGTCCGGTCCATTTTCTCTCTCTCTCTCTCTCTCTCTCTCTCTCTCCTCTCCCCAGCCAGCAGCCAAGGTTCATGTTCACGTCCACGTCCCAGCTTCTCGCGATCCACATCGGTCCATTCATTCCCCGGGACGTCAATCCCCAGTTTGTCTCGCTCTCCATGTTGCCCTCCAAAGTCCCAGTCTTTCGCAGTCATCAGTCTGGCTCAGAACTCTGGGCCCATTCCCAAGCCAAAGGAAAAAGACAGAGAGAAAATAAGAGCGCAGAATCACCTCGTTTTCACTTTCTCGCTTTCCACCACCCCTTCCAACCCACCCGAGCCAGTCTTGGTTGTCTTCTCCACACAAACTTGACCCCCCCGCCCCTGCCACCCCCTTCAACTCCTTGCCCACCATATCACCCTTGCTTGCACCATCGAGCCCTTTCCCGAATAATAAGACGCAAAGGCAAAAGGGAAAGGGAAAAAACTCTGTGTCTCTCACACACCCCGGAGCGTCATCTCCCACGCCCCTCTCACACGCCTCACTCTCCATCTCTCTACCTTTGCCTGCATTCTGCCCCTCCCGCTCCGGACTTGGACCTCACCCCCCCCCCCCCCCCTCTCGGTTTCTGGTAGTACCTCGTCTGTACCCCCTTACCCCTGTCCGTCTTGCGCTGTCGTCTCTGGCCCTGGCTGTATGTGCGTGCGTGTGTGTCTCTCTGTCCCTCTCCCACTCCTCTTCTCCTGCCACTCCTCCTAATCCACCAAAAAGACTCCACCATACGGGCAAAAGAACGAGGCTACCTGCAATCAACCTCTGGGCTCGAACGCGCCGGTTGTCGTTCCAGTTTCTCTGGCTCCATTTGCTATCCTTCCCTTCCCGGTATTTTGCTTTTTTGCCTTTTTCTCCTCTGCTACCCTGTCCGTCTGTTCGCCCGTCGACAAATTCTCCTCTACACCGAGGCCATACACTACATCTACCTACCCTTTCCTCCCGTCCATCCCCTCTCGGACGCCCTTCTTATTCTTCCTCTCCTCCCCCCTCCTTCCCCCCTCCCGAACCGAGCCAATATATACCATACAACCTGCTCTTAACCTGTTCTCTTCGCGCTGCTGCCCACTCGGCCAGTCCTTGACACCCCGTCTGCGTTTCCTCATGCTGCGATATCTGTTTCTGCCATCGCCCATCCTCGACCATCGTCACTGACCTTTGCACGCATTTTTTCTGTCAGTCCAAGCCAGCGCCCGCCAGCCAGCCAGCCAGCCAGTTTCTTCAGTCCTTCAGTCACTCGCCCGTCCTATACTATATCGTACCGCACCCGATCCAAACCACCTGTCCGCCTTCTTCCCACTGGCGAATCCCCGCGAATTGCTCCAGTCACCGCCTTTGTTTCTTGGGGACGCCACTGCGCTAGGTCCCGAGCCACTGAAAACCTGCACGGCACAGCCAACGGCTTGGTGTAGAACGAATAAGAAAAGGGGACCGACCGTCATCCATCCAAAACAGACAGCCCCCCCCTCCCTCCTTTGCGCAGTTGTCGCTCCGATCCCGATTCCTTGGTCCACGATCTACGGCTCTGCTGCTATCGCTTCTCACTTACCTACTACAACTACTGACCACCACTACAACACCAACACAAGGATTCCACCCCCAGATAACCAAAGGCTTTATGACCGATCTTGTCTGCTTCTGTACCGGAGTCGCGGCGATTAGGGACTAACGTTCCCCAATTCGCCTATACACTTTCGCAATGGCCGTCGTCTTATCGTCCGAGGAGAACACCTACTTCTCCTCCAACTTGCGACGCTCACATTCTCAACCCAAGTTTGTCACAAAACAGTCCGCATTTCACCCATCAACAACCTCGGCCAGCCACATGAGCGACAACTTCATGGACTCGAAGGCGTATCCCGATTCTGCGCCTTCCTCTGCTCCGTCATCTCCCAGGATCGCCCATACTGAATCCACCGATCTGTCTTGCTCGTCGACCCCCGCGAGCAATGTCTCGATCGCTTCCGACTGCGACGACACATTAGACCTCGCCGTGCACGCCAATGGCCACTTTGTATTCCCCCACTACGAGGAGTCCGATTACTTCAATCACCCGGAAGACCTGGAACCGCCAACAAGTCCCAAGACTGGCGACTCTTATACCGTCTCGCCCGTCGACAACGACACCGAGGGTGACACTTCCAGGCCCAACACACCCGAGTTCATCCTCGACGTGGAACACGCCGAGGACGACACGGCGGTCCGCGTGCAACCCTCGCGCCACGTCGACTATCTTTCTCACAACTGGAAGGAGGAGGACATCTGGTCGTCGTGGAAGTTTATCGTGTCTAGGAGATCCGAATACAGCAACGCGGCCCGCTTGGAGAACGCATCATGGAGAACCTGGATGAAGTCGAAGAACAAGCTGAAGACCGTCTCGCCAGAGACGCTGAACTGGTAGGTGACATGACTGCATCCGAACGGCCCACGACTGACCATTGGTAGGCTCAAGGATTGTGACGTGACTTGGCTCTACGGACCCTTGCAGACTGGTCCCAACACCTTGAACCCCATCACGACGGATCCAAACAGCGCCAGGCTCACCAAGAACAACTCGTTCGTCAACAAGAAGCCCATCCTAAAGAAGAGGAGCATGTCGGAAGTCATGCTGCAGAGGTCCCTGTCTGCCTCTTCTCTGTTGAAGCAGGCGGCCGCGGCGGTCCAGGCTCAAGAAAAGGACGGACGGAGACGTCTGGCCCGGCCAACGCTGGAACGTGCCACCACCGATTACGTTACGTTCCCCTTCTCATCGAGGAGACTGAGCCGTGAAAGCTCCAACCTGTGCCCCTCGAGCACATCCTCCGGCATCATCTCGCCCAGTAGTGAGAAGAAACACATCCACTTCAACGAGCAGGTTTCGCAATGCATCGCAGTCGATATCAAGGGTGATGATGACGAAGACGAAGAGGCCGGCACTGAACAATACGACAACAGCGATTCCGACGAGTGCGGCGTCATGATGAAGAGGTCACGAACCAAGAAGAAGATGCCTCTCCTCAGGAAGAAGTCGGTGAAGATCGCAGCGGCTGCCGAGGGCAAGACCATTGCCATGCTACCGTCCACCACCCTCAAGTACCGCGAAGACACACCGGAGCCTCAAGAGACGGCGATGAAGCACAGCACCTCCTACCGAAGCCCCATCATATCCCCGTCGTCTTCTCAGGAGACTCTCCGGCCCTCAAAGGGATCCGGAAAATTCTTTTTCGACGATGAGGACGAGGAAGAGAATGCGGCGTCGATGGGGTGGCAGTCGCCAACGAGAAGCGACGACAACAAATCAACAGGCCTGCAACGATCATCGTCCACCAACAGTCTGAACGCCGAACCAGCTGGCATGCGTCGGACCTCGTCAGGTATGTTCATGCCATATGAAGAGGGGGAATCATCTTCCAACGAAGGCATCATCGGCCGGGTCATTGATACAGTTAATACAGCCCGGGATATTGCACATGTCATTTGGAACGTGGGATGGAGGAAGTGAGAGGAGAGGGTCAGCTTTGACGGTTTTGGGCCCCCCTTGATTCTCTCTTTTTTTTTTTTTTTACTATCAACAAAAGCGGACGCCACACGGATCGACGGCATTTTACAGTGGATGTACGATACGAGGGATCTAGGACGCGTTCTCCTGCCATACGGGAAGGTGGACAAGGTCGGGGGCACTTCAACTGTCGATTTGCGAGGATATAATCGGGCTTGTGCGAACGGGTCTATGGGGACGATCCCGGCTCAACCGCGCCATCGCACAAGGAGAGCATTTTTCACGCAGCGGGAATCGATCATATTCGGTCGCGGGGTTAACACGGAACGACACACGGCGGAACACCGGCGGGCGATATCGGCCAGCGAAGCAGGGCGAAGGGCTCTAGTCATTGCCCGCTCGCGTCGTGGCAACTGCAAATTTGTGGGGGATCTTGATGACGATACACACGGTAAAGGCTTGTAAGAAACATTTTTTTGGGAGGATGGGAGGAATTTGGGTAACTCGGTCGGTCATCATCATCATCAACAACATGATCTGGGACGCCATTTGGGGTCCAGGTGTAGGGTTTCAGCAACGGCGCATTGGGAAAGAAGGCGGGGAACAAAAAGAAAATGGGGCTTCTTATTCTGACAAGAAGAATCCGGCCGGATCATAGTGGGTGGATGCGCAATCTCTCGTGGTGTTGTAGCACCAGAGGCAACGGTTCGCAAGGGTTTGGGAGACATTGGTGCGCTGTGGCTGCGTCCACGAGGACTTGTCTCCCCGCAATGCATATCTCACCCGTCGGAAGCGCCCTTTGGCGGCTATGGGACTGCAGGTTTGGGGTCGAGGTATGGGGGAGTGGGTCAAGGTTAGATGGTCAGTCAACCCCCCCCCCCCCCCCCCCCCCCCTTGTCCTTTACGAACAAAAAGGGGATGGAATGAGATCCGGGCCCGGGGATATAGAAGGGCAGCGAAAAGGGCACGAGCAAATGAACTCGCCGTGGCAGAAAACAAATGCCAATCCATGAACAAACACTTTTTGTCTCGATACTCAACGTGTGTGTGTGTGTGTGTGGTCCGCAGGCAATGGGGGTGTAGCTGAGAGCGCAGTCGGCCGTTGGCCTCGTGGGTCGGTTGTGTGTACCGAAGCACGCCCAATGTCTCGGATTGTTTTTTTTTTGTTCTAGTTTCTCTCCCCTACGTTCCACGTTGGACGGCGTCTCCTTGCCAGCAAGGGACTATCATTCTCTGTGTCTCGCTGGCCCTGACCGCCAGGAAGGCAAACAAGATTGGCGTTCCCCACAAAGGGGTGCGTGTCTGAGACGGGGGGTGGGAGGGTTTAGTTCTCGGGCGTCCAGACTTCTTTCCTCCTCTGTCTCAATGTGGTGGTGTATTGTGTTCAGATATGCTTCTTTAGGGGGGGTGGGTGGTTATTCCCATAGTTGTGTGGGGGGGGATCGAGAAGGGAGAGAGGGAATGCGGTTGATATTGAGGCTCCCTTGAACCCTGGTGGAGATGGTGGGCCACTCCCTCCCGTCTTCCACCCGCATCATGCACACTACCTAACTACCCTACGAATACCGCACCGCACCGTCGTCTCCCGGCTTCCCGTTCCCCGCCGACTGAAGTGAGCGTTGGGTGTGTGTGTGTGTGTGTGTGATTGTGCTGTCTTGTCAGGACCGCCCGTGTGCTTCTCCCCCTCCCTCTCCGGTGTGGTTAGGGGACGGGATACAGGGCGGAGAGGGGGGAGGGCATAAGCTTACGTTGGATCGAATGATCGGTAGCGGGTTTTCTTCGTCCCTTTCTTCTTTTCCTACGATGGAAGGGGGGAGGGGACGGCGGCACACGGGATCAGGGCCCGGTCGGGGTTATTGCTCACGATGACGGCCGGGCAGAAGTAAGGGACCGGAAGTGCCGCGCGATGACGACGTGATGTTGGTGATGGGGGCCGAAGCCAGCGGACGCTTAATCCTCGTCCTCGTCCTCCTCCTTCTCCTCATTATGCCCCGCGTACGAGGAGAGGAGGTTCAGCGGCGCCTCGTGGTGTCTTTTGGGCAGTTGAAACGCGCCTTTATTCTTCCTGGTCATTTCTTGGTCATTTCTTCTTCTTCTACTTCTCCTTCTCTAAAACAAACTCAATACATGGGGAGGAAGGGGACAAAAGAAAGAGGGCTTTCGGGCAGATACGGAACACCATCCCATCTCTCTCTCTCTCTTTCTTATCTCTCGCGCCGTCATGAATCGTTCGTCATGAATCATTGCCCATGCGCGAATGCCATTCTTACTTTCCACCTTGGCTTATACGTTGGGGGGGCGCATGATGGAAAGTTTAGCATCCAGAGAAGGGACCGAATGGTGGAGGGGGGGGGTTGAATCGATGTTTCTGTTGTCGGAGAAGGGGGCTTTTTGACATCCTTCCTTTCCGGGGGTTGTGTTCCCGTGCGGGAAAGCGCGAGGTCGGACGATCCCGCATCATTGGGTACACAGGTATCACGGAGAGCGAGCAGTGATGGGGGTTTTTTTTTTGGTTTTTTGTTTTTTTAGGTTACGGGGTACACCGATGATTGGTACAAGAAAGGCGAGGTGACCAAGGTGGCTCGGAGCATTGCGGGTTGCGGAAAATGCACGATGAGAGCATATCATCCGCCCACGAAACGAATTGCCCGTTCGGGGGGGGGGGGAGAAGACCCGTGGAACCTGGGGGGTGTGGGGTGGCGGGAGGGGGTGGGGAAGAGTTTCCACTGTAAATCAGGGTCCTGGAGCAGGACTTGGCACAAGAGTGGAATACCGGTACGGAGTACTCTGTTCATGGTACACTACCGGTAAACAAAAGACGACGGCGAACCCTGAGTACCCAAGTACCGGTAGTTTGTGGAGGTGGAGGCGGAGAAAGGTGGCGAAACGGGGAAGAACGAGTGAGAGAGAGATCAGACCTCTTCTTCCTCTTCTTCTACTACGTACTCCGTATCTTACCCCTTCTCCATGTTTTGGGCGTGGGAATACTGGGGAGGGCAACGGGACCGGTGATTTGCTGGTTCGAACCCGCTGGCTGTGGCTTTCTTGTTTTTTTTTTCTCCCCTTCCCCTCTCCCACTAACCCCCAAAGTGCATGAATTGCCTATCTGTTCCCAAGGTATTACTTACATGATGCATGTGGCTGGCTGTCGCGCCCTTGTTCGCTTACGTACATACAGCTTGCAGCGACGGTTCATCCCCAGGAGGGGAAAGCCTCGGTGGCCAAGTCATCCCCGATATGGCTTAGAGAAACCCGGGGAGGCCAGGAGAGACAGAAAAAAGAAAAAAAAGCGGTCTACTGACGTGGTGTACGTATCCAAGGCGCATCCCCCCCCCCCTCCTCTCTCTTCAGGTCGCACAAGATGCGTCAGGGATGTTGCGTAACGTTTTATGCTGAAGCACATACGTGAACTGGGAGCACGAATACCTGCTATCTACATACCTGTGCGACCCTGCGAGGGATCCGCTCCTCTGGCCACGCATCTTACGTAGTCGTACAACCTGTGTAAGCAGACCCGGGGGCGTACCTGGCGCGCAGATCGGACGAAGATGCGGATGTAACAAATGGAGAAGGATACGCGCCCTACGTAAGGTCACATAGATGGACGGACCCTGAGATATGTGCGCTGACGCAACAGAAGAGAGAGAGATCGATCCTCGAAGCGAGTTTCTTGGGACCACCCGCGATGCCAAGAGACGCCACGCCGGTTCTGGGAGACCTTAGACGGGCCGGGGAAGAGGGGTTGTTGTTGTTGTTGCTGCTGCTGCTGTTCAACAAGAGGTTTTCCATTTCCTCCGTCTCTCGCAGGTGAGTGTGTGTGCTGCTATTCTTATCAGGGACCAAGTGCTTTTCTTTTTTTTTTTTTTTTTCAACCATGTTTCCTGTTTTTCCTTTTCCCTTCGCCGTGGCGTGCCGGTTACCGCGACCCTTTGGGTTCCGGCGTGGATCCCGGGATCCTCCAGTCCCTTTTCTTTTCCCGTTCTTCTTGACGCCCGCAAATCCATCCCCCCTTCATTGGCGAGAGTCCTGGGGGAGGGGACGAAGGAACGCGTGGAGGAAGACGAGGACCCGAGGGGGGAAAGGATTGGCCAATGGCCGGGCCGCCGCGCCGTCGTACGGAGATGACGGGATAGTGTGTGTGTGTGTGTGTTTGAGAAATGGCGGCGGCTGGTTGCGAGTTTGCCATTCTCAAGGTGAGCCGCGATGGCACCCGTCTCGAAGCTTCCTTCCGTCCCTGCGCCATAGCATGTAGGCAGACGCCCAAACACCGGTACTTGCCTGGCGGGGGGGGTTGCTCCGGGCGCTCTCTCTGCTGGCGCGCGACAAAGACACACGCCCGTCTCGGCTCTGGGGTGGAGGGTTCGGGAGGAAAGGGAAAGGACCTTGTCTCTCACCCCGCGGATGCTTTCCCAGGGAATGTTTGGGGGCCGTCTCATTTCCTGTCTTGCCTTTCTGGCCTTGGTATCTTCGTCTCTCCTCCCTTTCTTTGACATAATGTCCCCCCCCTCCACCCGTGGCGATTGTGGGGGAAGGGGGGGCATTTTTTCCATGAGACATGCGGGTAGAGGGTGTTGAGCTGTCGCGCCGCCTGTCCTACGCGAGTCCTTGTGGTACGAGCCCCGGTATTGTAGGTGTAACGTAGGTGTAGATGTAGCCCCCCAAAGCCAAAGATTGAGTGGGGGTGGGGGGGGCGCTTCACACGTTCCCCGTCATCGGAAGGGATGGGCGGTGGAATTCGACGTCGTCTGGTGTAATCTGTCCGCTCAGGGGGAGCCGGCGAAGAGCCCGGGATCATCGATGATCGCCGATGACGCCGCCCCCGACCCGATGCGGGGGGTCGGCAGACGGGTTCCCACCCGTCCGTCCGTAGCCGGCTTTTTTTTCTATCACCCTCCCCTCCCGCCCCGGGAAAGCTGGCCCGATAATGCGGACAGGGAGGGTATTGCCCCGGTCTCTCCGATCGCGGGAGCCGGCGGCGGGGCGGGTGGATGGCGGGCAAATAGTGATCGAAAAAGAAACGAAAAACCGAGCAGTGCACACACACACGCTGAGGATTTCTCTTTCTTCGATCTTTGGAGAAATACGATCATCTCGCGCGCGCGACAACAGGGTGAGACAAGGACGAGGCATGCTCGAAGCTCTTCGTGGATGCGGTGGTGAAATTGGCGTGCATTCCCGTCCCCCCACGCACCCCCGGTGGTGGACCGTCGACTCGGGGGTTAGAAAGCACCCCCACCCCCGACGTCTCGAACGCAGACCGTGGTGCTGAGCATCGGGCATGATGGCTTATACTGTGTTTGTCCGACCGCAATAAGAGCATTAGCGGTGTACCTGTGCAACCTCAAGAGGGGACTGGCTTGGATACGTACCTCAGGCTTGCCTTCTGAATATCCAGGTGGTTACTGACGGCATTGTTTCACTCCCCTGAACTCACAGCGGCCAAGTCCACCTTTGGAACCTCGAGTGATCGGGTTCGAGAACACAAGTGTATATACGGAGTACAACGCAAGCCAATCCGCAATGAACCCAAGCCAAGCCAAGTCGGCCTCCCCTCGCGTACCATGACTACGGACGCTCTGTGACCCAAAAGTCGAGACTTGATGGCGCATCACGACAAGCCGAGAGTTTGGCAACGTCGTAAAGGGCCGGGCAGCAGGGCGACGTGGCTGAGAAGGACTCGTCTCCGAGGAGTCTTTTCAACGCCAGTGTGATGAAATTGCGTCTCGTAGGGAGGGAGGGGTGGAGGATATCAAACAGTTCTTCTTTATCAGCATCTATTCCGTAGAAGCGGGACATCTTCGTCATCTACACGAGGCCCTCATCTCGAGGCCCATCTGCGATGCGGCATGAAAAAGCGTCCATTTACCCCTCCCACGCCAGACTCCGTGCCCGTAAAACCCCAACCTCAAAGCTTCCGTTACCCAGTCCTCGCCTGCTTTTGTACAATCGCGTCATCCATGCCCTCCATCACCCGACCGCGCAGCGTGTTCCTAGTCGTCCTCGATGTCGTCGTCGCTGATCACCAGGTTCTGCACCCGCAAGCCCGCCACCGATCCGTCTCCTGCATGCCGAATGACCGAGCTCCACTTCCGCGGCGAGGCCTCTTCTGACGGTTTATCTGTAGCCCACGCGTCGCCCGTCATGACCCCGTCCTCCGGCGCGTCTTCGGCCGGCTCGTCATCGTCACCCGTCTGCGGCCCGATGCCTTGGAACGAGACAACCTTCTCGATTTCCCTAAGCTTGAATGAGTGCAATGTCGACTTGCGCCCACGGACGATGGAGGCCATGTACGGCAGGCGCTCAAGCAGCATCTCCCGCCGGGCTGCGCTCCCCAGAGAAAGGAGCGGTGCGACGTTGGAGTCGGCCTTTGCGTTCTCGTTGGCCGGCTTGGGCTTGGACTGGCGGTTGGCCACCCAGTTGCCCGCGTCCGTCTGCTTCGGCCGACGGAACGCGCTGGCCCCCTCCGTGAGACTCCTTCGGGACGCCGTCTCCTCCCCTTTCATGAGCTTCGTGGACCACACGTCCACGAGAGCTTCGAATTCCTCCTTTGTCCGCCAAAGCTTGATGCTGGTCGGGTAGAACATCTTGAATGCATCCGCACCCTTGGCGCCAGTCGACGCTTTGCGTTTTACAGGGGACGGCAAAGAGAACAGCATCCCGCGGACGGCGACCTGGAAGGCAATCTCGTCTTGTCGAAGCACGTGGCTACCCGAGTCCCTGCCGAAGCTTGCAGACGAGCCTCTGCCGCCAAAGAAGCTGTCCCGGCACGGAAGGAGTAAATCGCTCTCCGAGAGGTACTCTATGCATCCGTTAACATAATCCAGGGGCGTCGACGCGTCAAAAGGCGGCACGGTCTCGCAAGAGAACATGTAGTTCTCGTGGAGAGCAGAGACGAAGGTCTGCGTGTCTGTGCCGGTTTCGTCCATCAGCGCATCGACCGAGACCTCCGACGGCTTCGGCCGCGAATGGTGGGCGATGTAGCTGGGCAAGCGCTCTGCTGCATTTGACGCCGAGGGCGTCTCGTCCCTCTTGTTGTAGACCACTTTCCCAACGGCGTGGAAGATGCCGAGACTGGCCTCGCGTTGAGATATCAGCTCCAGCGTCTCCTTCTCCCCCTTGGTAAGGGATATGCCTGCCTTGGCGCCCTTCGACTGCTTCGACAAGGCAACCTTGGCTCCCCAGTCCGCGTCTTGATCGCCCTTCAGACACATAAACTCCAAAGAGGATATCGCGCTGCGTATGTCCCCGATCTCGCCTAGACGCTTCAGCACTTGAGGGCCCGGTGTGCGCTTCCTGCCCGACTTGCGTGCCTCTTTCAGCACGACCAGCTCCAGGGCTTTCGCGAGCAGAGTGGGCGCGATGGTGTTGAACTCGATGACGCGTGTCCCGGGGTGTCGCAAGATCTCCGGGCCCAGCAGTCGGTGAGCAGTAAAGCTGTCTGCCGAGGCCGATGTCGTGGTCAACAGCGTTTCCGAGACGATCAACACGACAGGGGTGATGGGTTCACTGGGCGACCGCCGCCCAAAGGTCGTCAACGAAGGTGTGTTCGCCGCCAAGTATTCCAGGAGTGTGCTTCGAAAGGAAGAAAGAGCAGTCGATGACCTCGAAAAGGTGTTGGGAAACTCCTCTATGAGGATAATCTTCCCCGCAGAGGCGGACTTTTCGTTGGCTGGACGCGGTGCTTCGGTCGGCACATCTGTGTCGAGCTGCCCAAACTTTCCACCTCTGCTCAGGAACTCTTGGAACTGCGCCGAGGCGGATGTGTACCCAAGATGCGCGCCGAGGGTGTTTGTTGGATTTCTCCACTCCAGAAGCTCATAGCCCATGTCCTTCGCCAACAGTCTCATGGCGGTGGTCTTCCCCGAACCCGCGGCACCTTTGAGGAGGAGCAGACGTTGGCGCAAGCGGCCGCCGACGACGTCCTCCAGCCACTTTCTAACATCGGCCACCTTTCTCTTGTGCACGGCCAGTTCTTCTAGGTTGAGCGGGCCAAACCGTTCCGACCAGGGCCGCAGGTCGTCGTCGTCGTCGTCGAGCCCTGCCGGCTTCATCGGACGGGGAGGCTTGAGGAACTTTTGGCTCGAGCCAGCTGTTGCCGAGGAAGAGATGGGCGTGCTGTCTCGAAAGCGTTTCCGTGCATTTTGGCCAACGATGCTCGACGTGCTAGCTTTCTGCTCCGCGACATCGTCTTCCTCTGAGATGGGGTCGCTCACGATGTCGTCGAGAGGTACTGTCCTCGAAGCGGCGGCCGGCCTGGCGCTGGCCTTGGACGCCTGCTTGGAGAAGAGCGTCATGAGGTCGCCATTTCGGCCCTTGTCATCCACTTTGACGCGCTTCTGCTGCTTCCCCTTGAACTTTTCCGGGCTCGTGCTCGGGCTCTTTGTGCCCTTGTTGGATTGGCCGTTCCGGGACTGGAGGACGGCGGGGGTCGCGACAGCTCGGGTGTTGTAGGCGACACGGGGCTTCGGTTTCGTGGGACTCGGGGAGACGGAAGCGCCCCGGCTGTCGGATTTCGCAGGTGACGAGAGGAGGAAGTTTGTGAGGGTGTTCGTCTTTGGCTGTTGATCGTCTTCATCGTCGGACTCGACGACGTTGCGCCTTCTTCGTTTGGCAGGCGGGGCCATTGGATAGAAAGGCGGTTGACGAGCTCAACATGGGCGCATGTCTCTGCAAAGTTGCAGGTCAATTGGCGCGACCTTGTTTCTTGGTGATGTTTGACGATGCAAAAGCTGGCGACGATAGGTATAGGTTTTCGCATCATGGAAGAAAGCGCGACCAGGCAAGCGTGCACGCACGCACGCACCTGCCTCTGGCGGCTAAGGCAGTACATACGGCAGCTAAGCTGCATCCTCGTCATTTGGAGCCTCGCCAATCGGGTCTCCACATGGACGGGCACTATGTACACTACACTACGGCGAGTGAACACTAAACTGTCGCTAAACCATCCAGTGCTGGCGGTACCTGGCGAGCCCTGGGCTGATCCCCAACCGACTGTCTGACCAGAAGACGACGGCGAAGATGCCACTGATACAGAGGAAATTGCTTCTGCTGGCGAGCGAGCCTCCTAGTCATTATCGCTTGGAAATAAGCCCTGCCATTCCGATGCCGGACGCAGCGTCTCTCAGTCAAGAGCTTCACTGAAGCCGGTCCTGGAGTCCAAGTTCTTCTGGTCGCCAACACCGACGTCTCGCCCAGCGGTCTCGATTCTCTAGGAAATGGCACACAAATATACTCGACGTTCGATCTCAAATGTATCGAAAGCTTTCATTACACATTTGCGTTCATTCCCATACCTATATACGCCATATACTATACAATTTACTCGGCTATTTCAAGAGCGCACGCCGACACTGCGACACCCGCCAAGTCGGGAGGACAAAGAAGTCAGAGAGCGATATTTCCCTACTCAATAACGCCTCGGGGAAGCAGCAGAAGCCGCATCCAACGCTCAGAAAACCCATCCGCGGAAGTTGTCAACAAAGGTCAGAGCAGACGCCAAGTAGCGTTCGTGTACGTCCCCCCATGTCCTGGACGCCTCCTTCATTGCGCGAATGGCTGGAGAATTGTCAGCAAACATGGTCTAGGACTATCGGGGGCGCGGAACCGACCTTTGACGTAGTGGGCGTCTGTTGCCCACTGCGAGTTCAGGGCTTCGTGCTCGACGTGGCCCCAGTGTCGCGCCTTTAGATCCGTCTCGACATTGTCGGGGTCAATCTTGGGTCTCAAAAGAGATATATACACAGCGAGGACCAGAAGCCACCATTCCCTCACCAGATCGATGTGGAACTTGGCCGGGATGAAGGGGAGGAGAATGCGGACGGCATGGCTTGTCGTGAGGAGATGCACGGCGAAGAAGTTGTATCCGTGGGTGCCGCGGGGTACCGTCGCGACGAGGAGCGCGACGGCAAGCTCCTGCGATTCTTCGAACTGCTTCACTGGATCGGTGATGGTCCAAGCATTCCAGTATTCCAGGACGAGGCCCTCGTGCTTGTCGAACAAGGCGTCGAGGTTCTCCAACGCCGGCTCCTTGAACAGACCGTCGAGACGGCTGTCTGCTGCCAACTTGTCGACCAGTTCGAATGTTGACTTGGAGCTGAATGGCGAGGATCTCGTGTAGGACTTGTCGTCAAGGTACTTGTGGAAGAAGTTGTATTGCGTGGCTGCCAGGGTGAGTGCTTCGATGGCAATCTCCTTCGAGTTCATCTCGTATGCGTATCCGAGGTGGATGAGGGGGTGGCCAACTTGGTGAGGGGTTAGCAGATGCAGACACCATGGTGTCAGTCAGTCCTCGGGGCAACACGTACGACCGCCAATAAGTCCGTGGATCAGGGGCTCCTCGCCGGTGAAGATGAACTTGTCGACAACCTTCTTCCAGTCGTACGAGCTGTAGGCCAGCGAGTCCTCGAAGAAGTCGAGGTACGCTCTCTGGTATGTCTTGTCCCCCAAGAGGTCCCTCCAGTCTTCCTCGGTCACCTCGGCGGGGGATTCTTTCCAGGGCTCGAGCTCCTTCGCCTCGGCTTCGTAGATGGTTTGCAACTGGCGGTCATTGGCGCCGAGGAGGTAGGCGGAGGAGAGGATGTGCGGGGCATGATTGTCGTACTGTAGGTTGTGGTAGATGACGGAGTGGTTGACGTGGTTCGCCCTCAGCAGGTGCTTGAGGCACCGCGCTCGCTTGTCGTGATCGGTCTCGACATCGTGGACCTTGACGGCGGGGATGTCGATGGCGTGCGCTTGCTCGCTGTCCGCGACCAAGCGGTTGACAATGGGGATGTAGGATAGCAGACCGGGCGCCATGATTACAATGGCTTCAGCTTGTTCGCATTGTTGGAGAGGGAGAATACTTTGGAGCTAGCTGCAGATGCAATCGGCCGTTAGAGACAGACATGGCGCGACCCGAGCGAGAATCGTTGGGAAAAGTGACGTGTGATGGGTTTGACTGGGTGGGGCCACACGCGCCCCGTGTTACAGGGGGGATCCCGCATCGCATTGCATTAAAGTGTGCTGCGCCAGCTGGACGGTTGGCGACCTCAACCCCCCCCCCCCCCCGCCATGCCCGGCCGTTTGTGCCCCGCTATCAAACGTCCGGGGACGGAACGGAACGGAACGGAACGGAACGCCAGCAATCAATTTGAATTCCGCCATGTCCGACGTGAGTTCCGCTCCTCTTTGTTTGTCCCTTCCTCCCGCCGTGCTCGAGATAGAATTCCTGAAGGAAAGTTCGACATCAATTATCTGCTCGTCAGGGCTGCATCCCTAATCATTGGAGCTGACAGCGCCTGCTCGGGCTCGAAAACTCGACGGGGACGGGAACTCTCATCCCTATCGTATCCTTTTTATCCCTCCCCCTTTCGGTGCTGGCGGATACGAAAAAAGGTCCGGCACCACTGCGACGTCCACTTGTTCGTTCTGGCAGCAAGCTAGAAGAATAGTCACAGTCCCGCTGATGACGGTCTTTGGGGGCTCTCAAGTCGTCCAGGACTCAGGCTACAGATAAGTGCCGAGGAAAGAGATGTCTTGCACATTGTTGGGAGAAGTAAAATGCAGTTCAATAGGAACACAAGAAAACCGTATATAGCCACGGCCGAGATGGACGGCCCAACCACATCCTCCCCTACCGGATCATGTCAAGGGTTATGAACCCGATTTTGCGCATGCAGACGAGCAGGAGAATCCCGTGTCTCTACAGGTAGTATCCCCTTCGTCAGCCCGCTTACATAACGATCCCAGAAGACCTTTGACAGGTTGTCCACGCATGAACTAGATGCGATTTTCGGTGATTCAAGGGTCTCTGATTGGTATGCTTATATGGGGCGCAGCTTGCCATTGACCAATAGCTTGCCTGGTCGTCACCGAGAATGTGAACGGAGAGCTTCGTGTAGGTTGTTGAAGCTACGGGATATCGAAGAGCCTCAGCTGGGAGTGGGTGGTATAACAGCGTGTGCGCGAAAACCGCGAGCCCCTCATCACTTTTCATTCCTACAAACCCAAAGTCCCGCAATCCTTGACAAAGCACTGGATACCCGCCCTTGCTTGCTTGTTTTCCCCATTGTAAACCCACCCCCTGCCCCCCTGTAGCGACTTACATGGCCAAGATGGAGCTCGATCAGAATGCTATTTACTACTTCCTGGACTGCCATCACAATGCAAAGCGCTCAGGTTCCATCCCGGCGGTCTATCAGGCCACCCAGCCGGGCCTTGGTAGCGGCCAAGCGCATGTCTTAAGTGAGGACAGTAAGCTGTTCGAGCATTACTTCGACTACGACCTTTATGCTCGCGGCCCCAAAGACAACCCAACCCCTCCACACATCATGGCCGACGATGCTTCGCAGTCCGTACATGACTCTGGGAGCACGACAGAGACATCGTCTATCCGCACCCCCGAGACCTTGCTATCCAACCCGGGATCTCCTTTGACGGACTATGGCCCCCCCAACCCGGAAGACCACCCGTATGGGAATGACGACCTGGCTTCTCCTGATCTCAATGAATTCCACAACCACCCGTTCCTCTTCCCCAGTCTCAAAGAGACACCAAACCCCCCCCGGGAGCAGACTCTTCAGGTTCCCACCAAGAAGAGGTCACGGCCCGACAGTCCGAATGGGAAGACACGTCGCGTCAGGGACGTGTCCAAGACAAACCAAGTCAGGTCCACCGGATCCTGCACACGGTGCCGTATTCAGAAAGTCGATTGCACAACTTCCGGTACATGTGAAAGATGCGTCAAGGCCTATCCCGGTGACCCAAATAGCGCCTGCGTTCGTAAAGAACTCTTGCTGACTGCCCTCGACCTGTCCTCTGCGCACTGTAAGTCTTCCGGGCCTTGGTTCGGTCGGGCCAGCATTCCAATGAACCATCAGCTAACAACGTGCCAGTCGCTGGACTAGAAAGGAAGGCCGAGTTGGAGGCGAACCATTTGCTCCAGTTCGTGCGGTCACAGTACTACGTGAGCGTCCACAGGGGTCATGTGGTATTCGGCCGAGACCCGCATGGGGCGAGGCTCCCTACCGCACTGCAAAACTACTGTCGCATGTCAGACGATGGTCAGCGGCCCATCTACCAAGGATGCATCCTCGCCAGGGGAAGCATCGGGGTGCCTTCGTGGGACGGGCTGATCAGGTGGGGCGAGAAGATTGACTTCCCCGAAGACAGATGCACATTCGAAGGCCTCATCGAGCTCTTCATCAAGGACTATTCCGCCCCCTGTCGCACCGGCGGCCCCCGGCGGCCCCAAGTATGGAACCTATCCCACCTCCCCCCGTACCCAACGACGCCATACTGACAATCGAAAGATGCATCTCCTCGACGACGTTCATAAGATGAAGGTCATGTATAAGATCTGCTGCGAGGAGAACTTCAACTTCATCCGCGAGGGCACCAACGCCATCGAGCCGCTGCCGCTGCCCGTCAAGGCCGAGTTACGGAACATCGCACGGGGGGCCCTCGCGCATTTCGAGAAGAGTGCGCTCGGCGCGCTCGACAAGTACCTCGCCCCGAAAAAGGTGCCGGCGTGCGAGGTGCCGGCGCTCTGGGCCTCGCTGTGGCAGCTTCTGTTCATCTACCGGGACCTGCTGCGGACCCGGGCCCCGTCCGAGACCAACGCCGTCCCGCTGCTCAACGCCGTCGCCGTCTTCTACGCCGCGCACTTCAGGACCTCGGCCTCCCTCAGGCTCTCCCTGGACGGCGTCCGGGGCTCCTGGGACCCCCGAGAGACCGGGCAGGCGGCGCTCGCCAGCACGTTCGACCACGCCTTGCGGCTTCGCGACACCCTTCGTGAGTAAACCCCCTCCCCTTCCCGCGTTGCGAGCGGCGATATCGCCGTATCCGTCCTCTAACGAACTTGGATTCGCAGACCGCACTATTGCTGCCGGCACAGACCAGATCGATAGTCGTCTCAAGGACCTCGTCGTCGATCCTGAGATGAAGGTGCTCAACCGGCGACAGCCTAGCAACAAGTCGGCCAAGGGGAAATAGGTCATCTCAGTCATCCGGGGGGCATCTTGGGATGATATCTCCTTTCTGTCGTTGTGGATTGTATGAGTTATGAAGGCGCGGCTTCTTTCATCGCCTTGTTTCAACTATAACTCGGTTTTGTCTATTCCCTCGGTTTTGTCTATTCCCTCGGTTTTGTCTATTCCCTCGTTTCATTATGCTTGCTCTTTCGCGGATACCCGGTCTCTTTCCTTTTCTTTTATCGACGCAACTCTCTTCTTATCTAGTGGCATACTTCTGAATCTCAAGCATCAAGAGGAACAATGGAATGATGCCGATTATTATGATTCTTCCACGGCCCATTGGCTAAATCTCGGCCGAGCTCGTCACATCTTGCTTCCCTTCGTGCTCTGAGTTCTGTGGTCGGGAATCGTGGTCTTCATTCCTGCATGGCCGCAAGAACCGACTTGGGACATGCCGACACGTCTGCTATTAGCAATATGCATCCTTCAGTCGTCTCTTCGCCCGTAGTAGCAATGTAGCAGGCCGGGCCAAATCTACAATAGCTGCAAGGTTGAGAATGGTCTCAAAGTGGTGGTTGGTATGGCAGAGGCCAAACCCCTGGGCGGCTTTGACACGGATATATCCGGTAAACAGAAGAATAAGAATAGGAAAAAGAAGAACAAGTTTATGCGGCTGTAGGGGGATTCGGAAGCAGCTTTATCGGTACCGATGAAGACATTCCGAATGAGGATCATGCTTTACAAGTTCGGGCCCGAAAAGGTTGAAACTTCCCTTGGCAGCTGGTAATAAACCGATATCTAACCTCATGTGCTTGGCTACGGTGCTGTCGGCTGCATCGTATGTGCGCGCACGAATGTGCCTTCGTGAGAAGCTCGCCCGAGAACAACTACCGTGGAAAACCAAAACCTTCATATCCGATACGAACAAACCATTGCCTGCGAATGATTCATCATCCATCGTACACTGATAAGACGATCCCACCTCTCACCAACAACCCGAATCCTCGGGAACAAGGTCGACCCTGGTCATCCGAAACCCCGTCTTGGACATTCCGAGTGCACATCAGCCAAGTCCGGCCATGGGCCCGTATCTATGGATCCCTCCCCCTCCCCTTTTTGCGCGGGAAACCTACGTCGATTGGCCGAGGAGAACCTGGGTATCACCAGAGCTCCTTGTCCTTGCCCTCGGTACCAGTCGCGGCTTATCGGTCACCGCGAATCCCTGAGCTGTAGATAAACGACCCTTCCAACATCGGTTCGCAAGCTGAGGCCGCATCGTTGAAGCAGTAATCTCACATCGGCCTCGTTCCCTCTATCTCTCTCTCTCTCTCACTCGCGAACCATGGCGCAAGCGGTCCACCCCTACCAGAAGCTCGACATCGACGAGCGAGTCAAGCGGGTCCTCCTCAAGACACCTCTCATCGATGGCCATAATGACCTGCCCCAGCAACCGCGGGCGTGCTTCCACGGCAAGATCCACAACAACCCCAAGTTCGACTTGGCCGGCGGCTTCGAGAGGGGCATGACGGATATCCCCCGGCTGAGGGAAGGTGAGTCCCGGCTGCGCCGTTTTGTTGTCGTCTCCGGCCGAGACCACTTACACGTGAACGCTCCGAAGGTGCCGTCGGCGGCCAGTTCTGGTCCGTCTGCGTCCCCTGTCTCAGGTCCGCGGAGAACTTCTCCACCCCCGAGTACTCGGACATGGCGCGCGACGCCATTGAGCAGATGGATCTGACGCTGCGTCTTATCGAGTCTTACCCCGAGACTTTCGAGTTGGTGAACGGCCCGGACGATGTGAAGGGGATCTATGAGTCGGGCAGGATTGCTTGCTCTATCGGCATCGAGGGGTGCGTATTCGACAACTAAGCATATGGCTGCGGGGGTCCAAAAGACTGACACGAGGCGCAGGCTGCATATGGCCGGTAACAGTATCGGCATCATCAGAGCGTTTTATCGTCTGGGAGTAAGATATGTAAGTCAAGTATACCGACCTCTTTCTGAGACTCGCAGAAACCACGGCTAACTTCACAAGTGTACCCTCACTCATGTATGCAACAACGCCTTCGCCGATAGCTCAACTTCGAAAATCGGGCCGGTCCACGGCGGGCTCTCCAAACTGGGTCGCTCGGCAGTGGTAGAAATGAATAGACTTGGTAGGCGTGCACTCCCCATCCCCCTCTCTCCCCGGCACCCCCGTCTGACCACGCAACCCGCAGGGATGATAGTGGACATCTCCCACGTGTCGGAGGACTGCGCGAAGCAGGTGCTCGAGCTCTCGCGCGCGCCCATCATGTTCTCCCACTCCAACGTCAAGGGCGTCTTCGACTGCCCCCGCAACGTGCCGGACCACATCCTCGACATGGTCCCCGCCAACGGCGGCATCGTGATGGTGACGTTCGTCCCGGAACACGTCGCCACGCGGAGGAGGGACGCCAGGATGGACATGGTCCTCGACCACCTGTTCTACGTCGCCGCGCGCGTCGGCTGGGACCACGTCGGCCTCGGCTCCGACTTCGACGGCATCGCCTCCGTCATCCCCGGCCTGGAGGACGTCAAGTGCTACCCGAGCCTGCTGAAGGCCATCCTCGACCGCGGCGCGACCGAGGAGCAGCTCGCCAAGGTCGCCGGCGAGAACATCTTGCGGGTCTGGCGCGGCGTGGAGAAGGTCAGGGACGAGATGAAGGCCGAGGGGGTCCTGCCGGTCGAGGACGTTTGGGAAGATCGGACTTGGTGGAGGTACGATGGGTACTACCAGATGCCCGACCCCGATCCCGAGGACAAGTTGGGCTTGGACTGGTACGGTGTTCCGCCTCCGGATGAGGGCTTGTATCTTGAAGACAAGGAGTCATAGATGATGCCTGTTTATCCGACTGAACATGAAATTTCAAGCTTATCTTCTTCGCATCGTGCAAGGTTAGAACTATATACGGAAATCGGGCAAATCCCATGCTTTCTCTTTTCTACTTTTGTCTCACGCTTGCTTCCACGAGGCTGAGCTCACTGCTGAGCACGACTCCCCTCTCATGGCCCCTCTCATTTCCTGTTTGGCCATCCTCATAGTGTATATGACTAGCGTGACACCGGCAGCGATCAATATCGGAAACACGGTTCACTGCGACGTTGTGTGCGGGGCAGTAAGCGAAGACCGCGGATGACTTATAGCGATGACAAACAAGGGTTTCCCGCGGAACGCCAACAGGATGGATGCCCCAGATAGACCAGCATCTCTTATCTATCGCTTCGTGGAGCTACCCAGGACCTACAAATACCAATTATGGGTCTGGCACTTGCACGCCGATGGTCATATAGTCACTTCCTGTCCAATGCCGGCCGGTTCGCATCGCAACCCCTTTTTCCTGCTTCTCCAGGAACAAATCGGACACAAGTATGGAGACGGACACGACGAAGAAGGAAGAGGCCGTAGCCTCGGGGCCCTCCAAAGCCCTCGAACTCCTCGACACCGCCGAGGGTGAAGTCATCGACTCGGGGGAGAGCGCGGCCCTCCTGAGACGGCTCGACCTCAGGCTCATGCCGCTGCTCTGCATCACCTACGCGCTGCAGTCCATCGACCGCACCACCCTGAGCTACGCCGCCGTCTTCGGCGTCCGCGAGGACCTCGGCCTCACCGGCTCCGAGTACTCCTGGGCGGGCGCCCTGCTGTACGTGGGCTACCTATTCTGGGAGTTCCCGACCAACGTCCTGCTGCAGAAGCTGCCCATCAACCGCTTCATGTCCGCGACCGTCGTCATGTGGGGCGCCGTGCTCATGTGCCACGCCGCGTCGCACAACTTCGCCGGCCTCGCGGCGACGAGGACGTTCCTCGGCGCCTTCGAGGCCTCCATCAACCCCGGCACGATGCTGTTGTTCTCCATGTACTACTCGAGGAGGGAGCAGCCCGTGCGCATGGGCATCTGGATCGGGTCCGCGGGCCTGGGGTACGTCACCGCGGGCCTCGTGACCTTTGGCATCGGCCACATCCAGGGGTCCATTGCGAGCTGGCGGCTCCTGTTCCTGTTCTGGGGCGCGGTCACAGTGGCCTGGGGCGCCCTCATGCTGCTCTTCCTGCCCGGGTCGCCGCTCACGACGACGTTTTTGTCGGAGAGGGAGAGGGCAATGGTCATCAGCCGCGTCAAGGCCAACGGCACCGGGGTCGAGAACAAGACCTTCAAGTGGCCCCAGTTCAGGGAGGCCATGACGGACATGAAGACTTGGTTGCTGTTTGTGTTCGCTGTTGCGAGTAACAGCCCCAACGGTGGGCTGACGACGGTTAGTTTACTCGCCGGCCTTCCAAGATTCTGGGTGCTGATACTTTCTATAGTTCCAAGGTCTTGTGATTAAGGGAATGGGCTTCTCGACTCTCGAAACCACCCTCATCCAAATGCCGTCAGGAGGTGTTCAGCTCATTCTCTGTCCCTTGGCATGGTAGGCGCGCCTCTCACTCCTGCGTCGCCCGAACCACGCTCACATGATGCAGTTACTTTGCTTCGCACTATTCAAACGCCCGCATAGCCATCATGCTAATGTGCCTCGCTCCTTTCCTTGCGGGAATCCTCGGTCTCTGGCTGATCGACCAGTCCAGCCCCTACGGCCGTCTCGCCTGCCTCTGGATCTCGTTCGCCTACACCGCCACCTGGACGCTGTCCATGTCCGTCGCCACGGCCAACACCGCCGGGCACACGAAGAAGATCACGACGAACGCCATGCTCCTGATCGGGTACTGCCTCGGCAACTTCGTCGGCCCCTTCTTCTTCAAGGCGGAGCAGGCTCCGAGGTATCCCTTGGGCGTGGCGATGATGATATTCTGCATCGGCGTGCAGATTGCGTGCTTGTGCGGCATCTGGGTTCTCCTATGGCTCCGCAACCGATCAAGGAGGTCGGAACATGCGGCTTCGCAGGAGAACGAGAACCAAGCGTACGAGCGAGGTCTTCTGGACGAGACGGACTTCCAGAACAAGTACTTTAAGGTAAGAAATCACAACTTCCTCGTACGATGTGTAGTATGACTGACTCCTGGCAGTATGTTTACTAGGTCTTCAGTGCCAAAATGGAATAGGAACAAGGAGGATCTTCGTCGATGTTTGGACTGTTCACACGGGCTTAGACTTCTTTCACCTGGTGGTATGAATAGACCTGATGCACTGTGTTGAGAAACACGCTTGTTATGAGAGTAAACGCCCCTGCTTTTTATGTCTATAAGACGATCAGTAGCCTGTAATATGAATAAGATTCAAATATATATCGCTACAGAGAAAATATGGTTCATGAACCCGTTCTGGTTTAGCCGAAAGTTCTCTTGATGACCTTAGGTGCAGATGCCCTGAGACCACGGACAAAGGGCAAGGCTTCAGTCTGGAATTCCACTGCAAGTTGTCCTTGACCAGTCTGTGGTTGAGCGCAGCACTCTTCGATGGCCTCATCTAGAAGAGAAATGACCTGAGCTCTGACATTCTTGTATCAGGCTCGTCTGCCATACATTTCGGTCTCCTTCTTGATCTTCTTCGTCTCGCTTTCGTCATCGTTGTCAAACTCGGCGTCTCGCTTCCTAGCCCCCTTGGCCTTCTTCTCAGCACCGAACTCCTCCTGGATCTCCTTGGCCTTCTTTACTTTGTCCTCCATATGTCTCAACCTCTGGATGATCTTCACTCCAGTAGGGGGTGACTTATAAAGCATCATTGCGCTTTCTTCTGCCGTGGCTGCGCCGAACCTGATGAGCTGTCGAAAGGATTGTGGCGTGTTTTGAATGTACGTAAGTTTATTGTGAAGCTAGTCCGCTATCAACAAAATCTCACCGCTTCTCTTTTCCAAAGTCATCAAAAATTATTACAATGGCATCCAGTTAGCTCTCAGTCGATCCTGAAGACCGAGAAGTCACGATCAAGCTGGCCGACTTCAAGCTTCTCACCGATATCTACGCAAGGCCGATCTTGATCTCAGTTTGCTCACGAGGACCTTTCACGAAGGTTGACGGAGGCAACCTGAACTCACAATCATGATACTTATCGTGTTGGGGGCCGAGCCGGAGCGCCCGGACTCCTCATCGAGGCGCTGATTCCGGCCTTGTGGAAGCGATTAATGCCGTTGTAGTTCGCCAGCGATGATGCTGCTTGAACCGATGTTCATATCAGCATTGGGAAGGGTAACGCTCTTCGGCGAGAATCTGGTTGGCCAAAAGCTGTGTAGTACGACACTTCGTGTCCTGGATATCCTTACATGTTCTGTGGTCGCGGTGCCTGGCTTCGTCTGGTCTCGGCCGAATCGGACCTCCCGTCTACATTCGACCCCACAAACGCCGAATTCGGTCGGACATCCGGACCGTGTAGTATCGGCCCCATTCCGGTCAACTCGAAGTCGACATCATCGTCAAATCTTAACCTCAAAGCGTCCTGCTTGGCCACGTTCCATGCTTGGATTCACTCGGCCGGAATACAACTGGCTGGTTCAGGCTCGGTGTGACCCACAAAGTCAACAAGGTATGGAGGCGGCGGCCGTCGAAACGGTCCTACTAACGTTTGGCGGCTTTGAGGGACGCCTTGGATCTGGTCGAGAGTACATGTAAGGCGACCATTGTGGGGGGGTACCTGACCTGATCTGACCATTGCCTCTGACCTGACCAGACCATTAGACCTGCCTAGAACAAGAAGATATTCCATAACCCGAACCAATCCCTAATCAACCCTATCCACTACTTCAGTTGTGCACGGTCATTATGTCAGGTCATGTCAGAGGCAATGGTCAGGTCAGGTCACATACCCCCCACAATGGTCGCCTTGAATACAGACTCAATCTGGTCGTGTCGGTGTGTGTTTGGTGAAGTGGGCCAGTTTGCTGCGGGTGACTGACTATGCTGTTTACCTGCAATCGTCCGCATAGTTGCACAATAAAATGCAAGCCACCGCCTTCGATTCTGTTCCTCGTGTCCGGTTGGGCCACTAGAAAAAAGTGGATCCAAGAGTTGCCAATGAGCCAATCAGTGTTGCAGTCATCTCATCAGTGGATTGCGTTAGGTAACACCACCGGAATTCGACCCAGACAAACCGGTGGCTTTCCGTGGACCAGCAAGTTGGTTGGACAGATTCTGGTCCATTTTCTTGCTATCCCCAGCGGTACCCGCACGGTTAAATATACACCCGATACCGGAATGACTCAGCCTCTCACCCGTTCTGCCGGCTGGCTGATCCGGCACTCTGTACACCGCCCTCCAAAAAGCTATATATTCTCCGTCGCCCGCCGTCCTTTGCTTGTTTTCCCTCTTTCTTCTTTAGCTCTCTTTGCCTTTTGGCTTAGATCAAGTGTAGTATCTGTTCTTTTCAGTTTAATCTCTGAAAGGTCTCTAAGGAGACCAATCGTGATTATTCCTATTTTTGGTCTTAGGGAGGAATCCTCTGTGCTTGCACATGATTCCTCCCACAGTGTCCCTGGTATTACACTGCCTCCAGGTGACGCGAACATTTTTTTCATTGTGTTCTCTGGCTTGCCCAGGGTCACAGAGAAGAAAACGACGCCTCAGGTATCTTGAGAAGCTGGATCAAGGAGGTACTACTATGTAGTGTGCTGTCCGGGTTTTGAGCGTACGACGAATCTGCCTGTACCCTGTTGTGCGCGTCCCTCTGCCCTTCATTGCGGGGGGCGGGGCGGTTCACGTGATCCTCGTTGAACATCATGAACCCACCAACATCGAGTTGCCTGCTGTGGGGTTGGATGCTTCTGCAGGAATCATACAGAAGTGCGCACTAATTCTGGAGCTGCAAGTCAGGCAAGAACGGTGCTAATCAATCTCAGGTGTTGATTAACTGGTCCTATTGCCTAGCTTAGTGGATTACTTGGGGCAAAGGAGGCTTGAGAGACTTGTTTTTAGATATGTACGGTCGCTGCATCGGTAGGTACATTTACCACTGAGAGGGAAACCGTTGGTTCAATGCGATGCAGCATCCATGATCGATGGTTTGCAAGTACTGCGCAGCGTCCTGATGCCGATGTTTGACTGGCAGGTAGGCAGGTAGACTGGCGATGTCTCCAGCACACAGTGATAAATCTTTGCGCCAATGAGTCTTTGGATGCTTGATATTGGGTGTCATGAAACTGCCTAGGCCACCTACTACACACTCCAAATGTTGGTGAAGATGGTTGATTCGAGGCAAATGTGGCTGGTGCAAGACATGTCACGTGGCCCACTACGAGGGGTTTGTCTCGCCATTGGAGCTTCTTTCTAACTTCACCTCAGTTTCTACTCATAGTGCAGTAGCTAGGCTTTCCTTCCCTCAATCACTTAGATCACTCGCAAACACACGCAACCTACAGTCTTTCATTGGTAGGGATGCAAGAGCCAACAGACAGCGACGTTATAAAAGACCTCCACGCCGACCTGGCTCGGAAGTACAAGAGACACGGCAGCACTCTTGAACGCCTGTGGAGGAGCTTCGATCAGAAGCAACGAGCAAAATGCGTCAAGGCTGGAATGATGGACGGCGTTCTACTGAAGCACCCTCGGGATGTTTCTTTGGGAAACGTGTACAAGATGCTCCCCGACTGGAACTTACGCGACCTTACCGAGAAGCCTGAGCATCTCTTGAGCATGCTGGAACACCGCGCCAAAAGCACGCTCGTGGAACAATACTGGACAGGCCCTAACGGTGGGCAGGGCGACTACGCCATCATCGACGAAAGTGTGCGCACCCGAAACCTCCGCCACGTCGAAGCCTTCAAGGACTGTTGGACGTTTTTCCTGGACGACGACCAGAACTACGGCAGGTCTTTCAAAATTCTCTCGGATCACAAAGAAGTTCGTCGTGATTTTGCCGCGGCCATGCAGGCAAAGCTTTGTATCCCCCAAGCCACGGGGGAATTCGTCCTGATCCGGCAAGTCAACATCTTGCAGTACCTGAACATCCTCGTCGAAGACATCCTGGAGGAGGGCTCCAAGGAGCGGAGGCAGAAGCAGCTTCCGAAGAACCCCGACGAGTCGGCATCGGCCGCGCTCTCCAAACTCAGCATTCGGGACTCACCCGTCAAGCTTTCCCTGCCTGATCTGGTCGCCGGCGCTCGCGACCAAGCGGCATCATGCATGGAGCACCTCGATCTGTACTCGGAGCCGACGGTCCTTGCCCACACTGTCAATTTATGGTTCTTTAGCCGGCCGGAGCTTCTTCCCGACGAAAAGGGACGCCGGATGGGTGTCCACACTGACAAGTATATCAGTGCCGTCGTTTTCGATGTACTCCACAACGCCGTCACAGAAGCCGCCATTTGGGACTACATCCACCAGCTTTTGGCCCGCCTCGAAGCCCTGAATAACGACAAAGCGCACCGGACCATTCTCTTGCAGGAGATATCGAACGTCTGTCAGCTTGCGTACGTCTCTGCCCAGGGCCTGTTCAAACGCAACATTCAGGTCAAGACGGGGGCAAAGTGGTACAAGCGTGTGTCCAACGCCTACGACAGCGCCGGCAACGCGCGTGTGACGCTCAAAGGCAACCCCGGCGACTTGACGAGAAGCGACCCGCAGCTCCATTATGTCCTCCGTCTTTGCCACCCGGACACTACTGCTTCCAAGGCCATCGAATGGCTGAAGAAGCTGACGGATCTCCAACAATCTCACCCGTCAGAGCGAGAGAGGTTGGATGAGAGCGAATTCGAGTCTCTATGTAAACTGGCTGCAACGGTCGCGTTCATCCAGGATTTATCCGGGACAGTGACGCTGCCTGCCCCGTCCCGCAAGAAGGGAATGTTGTTTGTTTCCAGATCTCAAGAACTGGGGGCAGAATTGAGCAACGTCAAGACCGACCTCGATCTCCGCGACTTTGCGGCCCCGATCGACACTCTTCTGGAGCCGGGAATGACAGAGGGCGCCTTGAAGGCCCTCGACCAGTTCGTCGTCAACAAGGCTGGCGCGAAACTCGGCTTCTTGTACCAAGATCTCGTCGACGAATGCTTCTCTGATCTTCAGAACCAGTATGATCAGTACAAGGCCAAGATCGAGGCGGGTCAGAAGGAGTGGACGCCGCTCCCGGTCCCAGTCCCCGAGCCACGCGAAACCTTGATCCAACAACGCAAACAAAAGGAAAAAACCCGGCCGTCTCACTCTTCCACATACGACATCAGCCCTCAAGCCGAGCCTGCGTTGGAGAACGCCGTCATACCTCAGACGTTCAAGGTCAGCGCTGGGACCGCCGAGGTCTTTGGAGCCTTCTTCGGCAAGTCGGAGTCTCGGGGGGCGGTGAGCTGGGCGGCCTTCCAGGGCGCCATGGCAGAAATCGGGTTTTCCGTCCTGCCCAAGTACGGCTCCGTCTTCACTTTCCTGCCTCCCGAAACGATGTCCGTGAAGAGATCGTTTACCGTCCACCGACCCCACAAGTCTGATATCGAGGGTTACGTGAGGCTTATCTATGCGAGGAGGCTCACTAGGGCGTATGGATGGGATGAAAAGACATTCGCGGTCGTCTGATGCAAAGCTGGTAGACCAGTACTGTGAGGGTAGTATGTAAATATTGGGAATGGCTTATTCAACGTCGGAGACACTATGTGGTGCCACGATGCTAACTTGCAATTAACACCCAAATGTCATGGGATTTTATGGGGCAGTGCAGAGTAATGAGTAGATGATGACGATTAATTAATTAAGAAACCGGAAGCACCTTAATATCTGCTGCGATGCGAACTGCCAGGCCCCGGCTCGGTGGGAAGCGCGTCGACGCTGAGCCAACAAAATACCCAAGCCGGCCGCGTCCCCGATAGAGACCGGTGACCTTTTCGAAGCCATACACCATATCACAGGCGTTCTGCGCGAGACGGCTTCTCGGATAGCGTGTATCATGTATAAGCGAACATCCTTTCTACCCGGTGGTTCGGTTCTTCGGGTGGGTTTGCCGATCTGGCCGCAGAAAAGTTTAACCCTCTCTCAGGGACTAACGAAGAACCCCCCCCCCCCCCCCCCCCCCCCTGCCACCGGCAAACTCCCGCCATGGGAACGGCCTTCACGGAGCCGGACGGCATCCAAGCTGATAAGCCCGCCGAGCAGTGTTTCTACCGGTCTCCGAGTCGGGAACCCGCGGGGCCGGCCGGTGTGCTCCTCGATCCGCCGTAATCCAGGCCCAGACGGCCTGCACTCTGATGTCGTATGGCTTGGTTTAACTTTCAAGCGAATAGAGGCGGTCCGGCTCGTCTTTAGGGCATGTCTCTATCCGGCGCAATCGACGCGGCCGCCTTCCCGACGGGGGACGCGTTCCACAGCGTGCTAGTGACGAATCTGCTGTTCGTCATGATCGAGGCCTTGCAGGGGAGCCGGGCGGGCGGCGCTGATGCACCTCAACTACGACAACAACATCCTCGACCATTACGACAGGCGCGGGCCTCCCCATCCCGCCCGAACAGGTCAAGGGGGCATGCCGCCGGCTCGTCGAGAGATGGAGGGCCCGGCCCAGGCCGCTACTCGAGGAGCAGACGCGGGAGGGGGTGACGACAGGGAGCGTCTCAGGATCCTCGCGCTGCGGATCCAGTCCCACGTACCTCTCCATGGCAGCTGAGTCTGGAGAATCCCCTGTAAACGGCACGACTTATCGTTCTTCTTGTGAGGTTTCGGACCTCCAAGAATCAGTGTGCTTTCATTTGTTGCCAATCATCTACAATTGCCAGACTACTATGCAACGATGCCGCACGGTCTTCTTTGAATCACACCACCCGTGCATCTGCGGATGCCGACCAGGTCTTTAGCTGCTCGACATCACGCTTGCCACGCGTCGAGCTTGCGGACTCTTGTCGGTGGCGCTAAAATCGAAGGAACAGCATTCGCCGACGCCGACGTCCCTTTAGAGACTTGGCACATAACACTTTGGCGACGACCTCCCGCGCGCTCTTGGGCCCAGGGGGGAGTACTACCCAATTACAGGTCGTCGCCGGCCAAGCCGATCACATCTCCAGACCGTATCACGCAAAAGGTTTCGGCACCGAGACGCTTTCCAACGGGATGGCCCTCAACCCCCTCGGCCCGCAAGCACGGCCCCGATCGGACCTCTTGGCCGGCAGGCCGGTTGGCTGTAGGGAAGGGGGTTTACTCAGGCACGCAGGTTGACCCTCGACCGCACTATCGATGCAACGGGACTGGAGCGTGCACCGAGCGTAGGAATGGATCAAGTCCGCCAACCTCCCCAGACCCTGGTGATCGGCTCAGCCCTGCGATGGCGACGCGGCAAGACTCGTCTGCGGGACCGGTTGATGGGACACGCATTCTTCACGGCACCCAAGTTCCAACTGCGGAGGGACGCGAAAGTTGGCTGGCTTGCATGGCACGCGCGTCGGGAGTGTGGGGAATGGCATTGCAATGTCGATCTGCGCCTAGAATGCTTCCGGGCTCCGCGCTCAGGGTACACTATCACGACCCTCGCCCCCCTCTGGAAAACATTGACCCATAGGGGAGAGGCAAAAAAACATGGAAATGCGAAGGGCCTTCCCTTGTTCATATCCACTTTTGCGGAGCGAGTTGAGGATCCCGAAATGCGGCATCGCGTTGGAAAACTTGTATCTATCGGGCGTCAAGTTAGCTTCGGGGCTCAAGAGAGGGAGCCTCGTCGAAGGAGCCATCACTCCACGTTGCGCCACATCTGCCAGATTCGGGCGTGTCAAGCGCCAGCCGGCGGGATTCTGGCCTGATTGTGATAGGATGACATGACAGGCATGACGGTTGATTGACACCAAACGAGCGAAAAGAGACAAGCGAGTGCGTGGTATGGACAAAGTGGTCGGGAAAGTGAACAATGTCAAGATTGGCGCTAGAAGAACGTAGTCAACAAGGCCCGACCGTGTTGGCCGGTCCAATAGCAGACTAGGTGGAGCGAAAGCAGACTAACAGACGGTTGAAGGGGGGCGTGGCCATGCTGCGGATGGCCGGGAGCGTCGGAGTGTTTCTCGGGCTCTCGGATGGCGCCAATCGACAGTCAGCCGGCGAGAGCACGTCGCCGAACGGCGAGATCTGAAGGGGCGAGGAGGCTCGATGGTGAATTTTCTTGGGATGGGTGTGGATGAGGTGATGGGTGGGACGGGGCGCACTGGGGATGGGAGGCGCAGCAAAGTTATTTTTACCCAGAAAAAAAAAACTTATCCCGCAGACAGGTGTCATCCGCGTCCAAAGCTCGGCGCGGGATATACGGAGTAGAATGGAAGGCAAAGAGCATGGGTCTCGTCGTATACCCATACCTAACACTGTTAGCGGGGGACTGTTCCATCCTGGGCCACCTTGTTGGCAATCCAAACCTTATGTCCGGATCGGCGAGCGGAGCTAGGCGGATGCACACGAGGCCTACGGGCGGGACGCCGCGTATGCGATTGCCCATTGTCGATCACGGGCCGGCTTTGTTGGTTTTCTTTTTCGTATTTCGTCGTGGCTGGAAGAGGGACCAGAGGTTGGTCTCTTTGGTGTCTGGTGCAAAAGGTGGAAAGTGGATGGAAGCCGACATTGGACGAGGTGTTCCGGGACCTCGGCGGTTTGATGTCGTCCGCGCTCTCTCGGACTCGGCGGCAGAGCTGCCCAGTACACTAACGACCGGTGGGCAAGTAAAAGAAGAAAGCAAGCAGGGAAAGCCCGTGGAAAAAGGAGGCGTTGGCGCAGGGACTGACCAACAAACGAGATGGGGGGAAAGGGCCACAGCAGCAATTAATCGGGTTCCGCTGGGGGGTTTCTTTCGCCGTCGTTGCATCGTCGGCGGGTTGAGACGATATGTCAACTAAGTCATCGGCACATTGTCCAAAGTCCGGTGTCAAAATACGTAAAAAGGTCTCGTGTATACGTGTCGCGGTGTTCCAAGAAGAAAGTGTTTTGATATTATGAGCCCCGGTTGCAGAGTGAGCGGTTGAACGGGATGAGTGACTGGAACCGGGCGGGTTTGTCTCTCATCACGTCATCGGGTATGCTGGTGCCGACATTGGACGGAAAACGGACGACGGGACCAAATGAATTGGACGGAACGGGAGATGGATGGCTGCACAAAACGTGTATTTCAGACGTGGCGGGAACTGCTGCTAATAAACGCATGTCAGAGTTGTCAGACGAAAGTTGTCAGACGGAAGGTGACGACTTGCGCGCAGCTGCCTTCACCCAGTCATTGATATGTCGGTGCCTACCTTCTTGGTTGATGCGAATGCGCAGGAAGGAGCGATCAATCAATTATGCACTCAGTCAGTCAGTCAATCAGCCAGCCTGCCTCATGCAGCCTGGGCTACAGCTGGAACAAGACACCCCGCTTGATTGCCTCACCGTCAGCCCGGTTGCCTTAGATGTATACAGAAAGTACCGCATAGTACCTAAGTCAGGTAGGTACATGGCATTGACTGCGTTGCTTCCGAAGTTGCCTCGCAGACCATGACAGGGAGGATCCTCTCGCTCTCTCCTGTTCCAGAGGCAGAAGGAAGGAACAGTTCGGCAACTTGCAAACAACTCTGGACTTGCTTCAAACAGCTGCCCTCCAACCAATCTTTGCACGGTGATCGACAGGCTCTGGCACCGTGTGACTTTCAACACAACTTTCTCTTCTCCCTTCCCTTATGACGGGTGGTGGCGGATGCGATGCAGGCTGACGCCAGCACCAATGAGCCGATTGTTTGGGTCCAATCAGCCAAGAGATCTTGTGCCAGGGGTACAAACGGGTTGTGGTTGGTGTTGGCATTGTCGTCTAGATTGAGGGGAACGTTTCGAGCATAATTGCCTTACCAGCAGGCCATTAGGAAAGGGACGAGCAAAGAAAAGCAAGCTAGACGTCATAAAGCTGCATACCGGTTATATCGTACCTGAATAGCACCTATACTATCTGGTTCACAATACATTATAGGTAACCTAGGTACTAGGTAACTGGCCTGTACGTAAGTGTCGACCAAATAACCACATCACCACCTGACCACCGGGTGTGAAGATTCGAATAGATAGACCCCAGCTCCGCACGCGTCCATCTCTTGCATTTAAAGTGCAGTGCAGTGCAGCCAGCAGCGGCGACTCGGCAGTCTGGCTATTTCGTTGCGACGGTACGCGACGCTGGATGCTGGCAGGACCCTGTGTTTCCGGGTCTGGGGTGTGGTCGGGGCCCAATCGCAGGCGCTGCTGCGACCTCGAGCTGGGCCAGCGTCACACTGGGGGACTCTACTTTCTGGAGTCGAGAGTCTGGAACATGCAGGCTCAAGGGGAGGGGAGGGAAGAATTGCCCGAAGGATTTCTTCGCCGCAATGGTCCTGCCTCGCCAGCGCCGGGAGTTGAGCTGAGCCCCCCCATGCTTCTGTGCCAGACTAACACCAATACAGCCTGCCTCAGGTGGATGAGGGCCTCAGTCCTGAGTCCCGAGTCCTGAGTCCTGAAAGTCCTGCGGTGAGATTGAGCTGGCGGCTTTGGATTCTGTCTGCCTGCCTGCCTGCCTGCCGATCCAAATCGTCGTTCCTCGCTCATCACCTGCGGCCTCCGCATTCCCCCTTTTTTCGCCTCCGGCGTCTTCCACGGTGAGGTGTTGTGACCTACCGTATACAATGCACTACTGTGTGGCACGTGTAGGCAGTAGGTACATTCAATGGTACCAGGCCGAAGTTAAATACCCCGGTTAGGTAACTAATGTTCCACCCCCCTACTACTCCGTACAGAACTTTACTTTTGGTGAATATTCCCCCTCTATCATGATATTTGTTATGGGGGGTAACATCATAGTGACATTTTACTTACCCCTGCCACCCTGTAGGTAGGTACCTACGGAGGTTCCGGATTGTGGTACGTCCTTGGGTCTCGAGACCCCTCTCGCGTCTCTCCACGTCTCCTGGTCCCCACTCCGCATCCAAAAACGTCATCCCTAGGTTGGGCCCCTAAGTATTCCACGCTAAGGCTAAACTGCCTCCAGCTATAGGTATGCAGGCATTGGAGAGGGGTACATCGGTACTTTAGGATAATACGTACCTCCAAGGAGGGATGAAGGGCGGACGAAGTGGGGCACGTACAGTGTCTGAATCGGACGAAGCATCGGAGATGCCGCCCATATTCACCGTGTCTAGAAATTTGTTCCTACCTCGGTACTACAGAAAAATAACGAAGGAGATAAAATAAAATAAAAAAAGAACAAAAAGAAGAATAACAGCAGCAGCAAGACGGCATCCCGTATCGGGGAACAAGAAATGGAAGAAGAGGAGGAAGCCCAGCAAGGGTGTCCCTTGCGGCGTGGAACATCTATCCACTTCCCATGTCCATCGTCAGTCTACTTCCATGTACGGAGTACCTAGCTTCGTACTCTTCAGAGGGAAAGAAAAAATAAAGAAAAAATAAAGGAGGTACCTGGCAATACGTGCCTTACTCCCTGTCTGTCCCTTGTCCTAGTTAGACCAGTCCCGGTGTCCCCTCTGGCCCTCATCCTCCTTCACCTCGCAACGTGCCTCACCAACTTACGTACGCCACGGTCAAACATGTCCCTCTCTTCCTCGGGTTGCTCCTCTTTATTATACACATTACTGCCATTATCGCGTAACGGCTCCATTCTCACTTTGTTTCTGCCATCAACCACCTCGGCCCAGCAAGCTTAGCACAGAAATAGTAGCAGCAACAACAGTATCCGTAACAGCAAACGAACCGAGAGCAAAGCCTCATGCCAGGTAAATTACTAGCTCTCTTCTTCTCTCCATACACCCCTCTCCTCTCCTCTCGCCCGCCTTGTCTCTCATCCTCAGTTCCGCATCTATTGTCTCTCCATATTCTCTTCCCAGGGATCCAGTGTCTTGTAGTGTATTTTGCCTCGTACAGATGGATATTTTACACTATAGACCCCCAAGCATGTTCACGGCGGTCTAGGTTATACCTGTGCTTGTGCAAGCCATTCCCATCTGATCCCATACCCATCTCATATCTCATTCCATCTCATTCCCACCCGTCAAGGAACAAGGTCTCAGTCCCGCATTCACCGTCTTGTGGAGCCTTGGTCCGCCTTTTGCTTGCTCTTTGTTCGCATTCATAATACCCGCCACCCGCCCGCCCATTTCTCCTGCCAGAGAGTCCTGCCTCGTAGCCATTGCTGGGCTGGACTGAACTGTTTGTTTGTTTGCTTCCTCCCTACTGCCGCACAAGAAAAGAACAAGACCCCTGGTTTGCCTGTTGGCTGCGAGACCGCTCCTTCAGCTCCTTTCCCCCCGCCTCTGCCCATCCACGCCTCTCGCTTACGCGCGCCGAGGCTGAGGGTGACATACACACACGTACACACCAGATCCAGCCAAGGGGCCAAACCGAGCAAGACTGAAAGACGGGTGTTAATGTTGCGTTGCCCAGCATGACGTCGAGTAAGCTGTCGGTTTCTCGCGCCTCGGTCAAATCCTCTTTTGGTCACTTCTCCTTCTCTTCTCAAACCAACCTCGTCGACTCCGTCTCGGCCAAGCCCCGCAGCCAGAAGCATCATCACAGCGTATCCGAGCCCCTGCACGAACAGCAGCAACAGCATGACCAGCGCCAAGACCAAGAACAACAACACCACCCTCAATCTGCGCTAGCAGACCCTGGTCGTCTCGACGTCAGCAGCAGTCACACGCATTCCCGCCCGCCGCCGCCTCCCGCATCCCCGAAACGATCACAGACCGACACTGAGGTCAAATCCCCCGCCACTGCCGCGAGACTCAACAGCCAAAGCCTGACCTTGACCACTGAAGAGAAGGAGAACGACAAGGAGAAGCCCACCGAGCCAGTGCTCGCTCCCTCCCGGCCCCTCAACAACAGAAAGTCCCGGTCCTGGGGCAACCGTCTGTCTTCTCTGTTCCCCTCGCTCATAATCCAATCAACAGATCAACTCCCACCTCAACCCCTGGCTGCCCAGCCGCAGCAGCAGCTACCGATTCACCGCAAACCGCTGCCCGCCTCGCCCCCTTCCGACAGCCCACCCTCCTACGACACGACTGATAAATCTACCGTCCGCCCTGTGACTAGCTCGGTTCTTGGCCTTGGCATCGCTGCTCCGACTCTCGATTCCCTCGACCCTCCACCGCCTCCGCCTCCCTCAGATGCACCGCCTCCTGTGCCTGGAAAAATCGCCCACGCACCTACATACCCTCCGACGATATCGTCCTCCTTTGCCATCCAGCACCCTCTGTTGTCTCCTCCTCAGCCTCCTACACCTACTACACCAAGCATGATGGCCGCCCCTATGCCGCCGTCCGAGGCGCCTCCTCCCGTGTCGGCGAAGCTGAGAAAGGACAAGAGCCTTCCTTTACCACAGACAAACCATGCCTCCCCCCGGGTCGCCTCTCAGCCCGAAACGGCGTCGCCCACGAAGCTGAGGAAGGAGGGCGTTGAGCATAGAAAGCGAAGCACCTCCTTCCTCGAGAACCGGGTATCGTCGTTCCCCATGTTGGGTGTCCGCGCACCTTCGCCGGGTCCGGACGCGCGTGGCAGAAGCACCTCGGCGAACCCGCCTGGAGCCAGGACCAATACGGGCGGCTCGCAGACCGCACCACGGAATCCCAGGTCCAACGAGAGCCAGAGCCCGACCCACGACGACAGGCGTGGACGGCTGCGCAGGAGCTGGCTGCCGGGCGGGGGGGGATCACGGCCGAACTCGCAAGACGTCACGGCGGCGACAAAGAACTTCCAGGCGTGGGTATTGTCGCCCGACACCCCTGGTGAATACAACACGTCGTTCCTGCTCAATGCGGAAAAGGTAAGCTTTCTCGGCTCATTGCGGTAGGAGCAACATTAGACGAGGATTAACGCAACGTCAGGTCCCAGAACTGTGGAACGAGAACGGCAACGTTTGCGTTTACCTTCAACCCAGAAGCAGCAACTCCGGGCCATCCTTCAGGGTCCCTAGCTTCTCCATCATCAACTCAGTCATCTTCAACGAGCTCATCCAGGCCGAAATGGCCTCGACCGGCAGGAGCAGGGCAAGGAGTTTCGGTGGCCGGGATAGCCTTTCGGTAGACGACGCGCGGGCCGGCGGCTCACCCCCTTTGGAGGGTCAGGAGAGCCCTGGCGATCTCAAACTTTATCTGCCAGCGACGCCCCCACAATACACAGAGCCCGAGAACGGCCAGCTTGCGGCGCCGGGATCCCGCCTCCATGCCGACATCGACCGGTTGATTTCCATTCGCAATCTGTTTGCCTTTTTGACCGGCCAGCCGCTAGTGGCCACCAGGACGCACCCCACTACGTTCGCGGCATTCTTGCAGATCGCAAAGCTGCTCAAGGAATACGGCTTCACCAACGCAGATGGCTCTTCCTTCGGCGAGGCGGTTGATCTCAGCTTCGGCTTCTACATGGAACAACTGTCGCTTGCCGACGTCCGCCACAGCCGCGAGAAGACGCTCGAGTCTCTGATTCTCGGCGAGGCGATGAGGTCGATGGAGCTTTACAACGAGGCGTTCGCGCACGCCGTTGGCAAGTACACTGCCATCCTCGATCTGCGCTCGCCGCTCTTTGAGCAGATCTCCCACTACACCAGGCAACGTCTCGAGCGCGCACATCTGGACCTCGTGAACCGGCAGCACAACGTCAACAGCAGGCTGGAGCAGTTTGAATTTCCATCGCTGTTTGCCGGCATCGCGAGCTCCACCTCGAACCCCGAGCTCAAGGCCATCCGCTTCAAGGTCTGGCAAAGGTCCTTCAACAAGATGAAGCAGTTCGTCCTGGGATACTACAAGGCCAACTTCGGTGCTTGGCCCCCGAAGGCTAGTAGCAAGAAGAATCCCTTCTCCGAGAGCGGTCTCAATCGCTTGGTGCTGAAGGCCCTCTACTCCGACATGTGCTCGCTCTACGACCTTACCGTGGACCGTGAAAACATCACCACCAGAGTAATGGACGGGAACGCCCATGAGGAGTCGGGCAAGACGACCGATTCGCCGATGATTGCCAACCTACGCAAGATGCTCACCGAGTTCGACAACTCGACCCCTCCCGTTCTGCCGCCCATCCCCTTTGACGTTCCGAAGCTGCCCACGATGGCGACCATCCTCGCGACCTACGACTCGATGTCTCCAAAGGAGCAGGCCAAGTTCGACCGCAAGATCAAGGAGCACGAGATGACACTTGTCATCCAAAAGGCGTACAACTGGGATACCAACAGTGTCAACGTCCCGTTCCTTCTGGAGTTCAAGGCTTTCGAGCTCCACGAGGCCAAGGGCAAGAACGCGGCCGACCTCGCAGACCAGCGCATCGGCTACTGGCTCTTTCTCTACGTCGTCATTCAATCTCTCCCCATGCTCGTCATAGACGCGCCGAACCTCAAGTTCAACGAGGCCGTCGAGTACTTCCTGTGTGAGCCGCCAATGGGCAACCTGCCGTGGCTCGAGGATGCGCGCCAGGTCCGCAAGATGTGGTACGAAGTCTCGGGTGGCAACGGCTACGTCGAGCTGTCGGCCGACAGCGTTTTGTTCAGCGTGGAGGCCGTCTACCACCGCAGCCACTGCTGGCTGGCCGCCAAGGAATGGGAAGGCATGAACGGCGCAGCGGCTCCACCCCCACAAGACTTCGGCATGTCTCCCTTGGAACCGCCCCGACCTGTGTTCCCTGGTCCGGATGGCATCGCCGCCGGCCCCGCATCCGGCACCCCACCCGCACCAGGGTCTCCCCAGTCTCATCTCCGGCCGCGCAATGCCTCGCCTGGAGGGCGTCATCTCGGCAGCCGCAACGCGCAACGCTCCAGTATGATATTCGGTCTCGAGCCCGTGCCCTTGGACGAGGGCCTGCCAGGCGACCGCACCTCGCGCGTCCCTAGCGCGAGGAGCAGTTCTGCAGGTTCCCGCCCTGTGAGCATGGTCATGCCGCGCACGCCCTCCCACACAAACATGCGCCATCTGTCCGTTGACCACACTCATACCCAAGAGGCTGCCGCGACGTCGACCATGACGTTCGACGACATCCTCGGCGGCGGGGGTGAGGAGAAGAAGCCGACCAAGAAGAAGAAGGGCAAGTTCTTTTGAGCGAAGGCATGCTACTTGCCGTGCATTCTCTCCGCCCCCTTGCTGTAAGAGAGCAAGAGAGCTGTATTTATACTCTCACTTAATGTTGTGTGTGTATGTCTGGTTGCCTTTTCGTTGGCCGCAGCGCGTATCTTTCTTCAAGCTTTTTGGTGCTTGTCGAGTAGGGGAATTGCATTACAAAAAACCAGCGGGAGACAGCGATATTTTAACGATGGTGTCCATAAGAGAAGACTGGTCAGTTAGCCCTCGTAGTCTTTTTGGCCATAAAGAGGAGATTTTGTAGATGTTACGTGTCTGATGGATATGACACTCTGGAAAAAACAAGTTGCATTTGGAGATAGTGCGGCCTTTCTCATAGACTCATAACGGCCATCTTGCCTCAGCGGATGAAGGGTGGGGGGAGGAGGCGACTGAGATGGATGAATACAAGTCGCTTGACAGACATGATGACTGCTGCCTGTGGCTCCCGCTGGTGATGTGTCCTCTTGACGGACGTGTATGCTGTCCGTCCGGTGCCGGAGGAACCTTTTCGCGCTCGCTGATCGGGATGTATGGTGTGTGCCTCTTGTTCAGAGGTGGCCGGAGGGAGGGAGGTTCGGACGTCGACGTGACGAAAGACGTTACGAAACTTCGTCACCTCTCGCGTATGCTGGCTTCACTTACGAGATGCCCTAAGAAACATTTGATATAAAAGCAAACAGCTGGATTTTCTCGTATTTATATAATAATCAGTCACCTCTAATCTAAACGAGAGCCCCAATCCCCCCCATCCAACTGAAGCTTCGCAGGCGGCATCCGCCCGCCCAGGGGAGTAGTCGACGTATACTCGGCTCAAATCTATCTGGCTCAAGAGTTTGATGGGCAAGTCACCGCGAACCAGGACACTCTATCGCATCCGTAGGATGCAACAGATGTCATCGTTAACGCTCACAACTTCGGATTTACCCCAGCTGAAACCGTGAATGATGTATTGATTGACGCGAGATCTATAGGTGAGCAAGCGGCTAGAATGTGGAAGGTTTGATTGAATGGTCGGCGATATCAGACACCGCACCTCGGCAAGGAAAGTACGTTCAAAGACGTCGCCATCCGCCTCGTATGTCTTGACTCTACTCGCCACACGTCAACCCTTTTTCCAACCAAAACACATACATCACCGCCTTGACGCAATCACAGCACTACACTGCTAATACAAGTTTACTCCAGTCACTCACTTGTCAAATTTTCACACATCACAAGTATATCCATGCACGAAGAGGGGCTTCATTCCGAGGCTTATACCCATCTGGCCGAGTGCCCGGCTACCAAAGACGCACAACACATGAATGTGGCGGCTAGCATCATCGAGAAGGCTGGCAGAACCGATGTTGTCCCCTAGGTGAAGAGCACCCGTGTCCAGGTGCTTCTCATGAAGCTGTTGTCCTTTCGATAGGCTAATTCTGCAGTCGAAGAGCTACCATTGAGCGAAACAAAATCTCAGGCAACGTTCGACTAAAAGCTGACAATTTCTGTGCCAGACTCTGTATCCTAATCTCGACCGAGAACAGATGAATTCTCTTACCGGTGAGGTGGTTTCAAAGGTCTCCATCACAATTTCCTGGTAGCCGGCTAGATACGTTCTCACTCGGCTTGCCCTGCGCCTCTTCATATTTTGCTCTAGCAATGGAGTTGAAACGCAGCCATTCCCGAAACGAAGGGACGATCGAGACTGCAATAGCCAAGGCTTTCAAGGTCACCGCGATGGACTAGCACGTCAAAGGCGCTGTTCAAGTTTGCCAAGTCACTGCCCGGTCAGTGGAGTATGGAAGGGGCGACCGACAAGCTCAAGGAAAACTTTGAGTTCCTTCTCTCCCTTCTCGCTGAGAGAAACAGCCATACCCCGCAACCTCTTGAGGGGAGATGCTCGTATCGATGACCTTGAGTGTGAGTCCAAGGGCATGAAAGTAGTTTTCAGCAGTAATGTGTGTGGTGGTACCACCTGAAGGCCCTGACCGCCCGTTTTGCGTCAGCCTTTGTGCGCCACGCACTCCCTTGGCTACCTTCACAGGATGATCCCGACGCAGACCCTGTCGTCATCTTTGACGACTGTCCTGCCTGCCTGCCTCAAGACATCGCGACTTGGAACGTCTTATTTCACGTCCCGGGACGACGGGGGTCGAGGACCCATCATCCTCGTCTCATCTTTATCCCGGCCACATCTTTATCGTCTGCCGAGCTAGGATCAAAGCCTGTTTAACAAAGGATGAGTCTGTGGAGACCGGGCGCGAGGAGCGAACATAAGACCAGAGAAATCTCTTGGGTAATCAGAGGAAGCAGAGTCCTCACAGCGGCCCCTTCGGACGTCAGATATTTAGATTGGTACTCGTAGAACAACACAGCCTAGTGGCAAAGACGCATCATAGAGCTCTTGATAACGCAGATTATAGAGCAAACAGGCGAGGTCACGCTGAACATCATCTGCTACCTACATCGGTGCCCGCAGAAAGCTGACAAAAGCACATTGGCCGCGGATGTGCTAACCTCTCGCTTCTGCTATGTGTCGTATCCCCCGCTTGATATTACTGTTTGGCCAGCAGCCCACCTACCAAGGATGCGTTCTCGCGACGGAAAAGAGCAGGGGAGACGACAGAAGGGAAGGGGGGGGGGAGACGCGGGTCGAGCGAGAAGAACACAGCAACGCCTTGTTTATTTTATTTACCTTTGTTTAAAGACTTGCCAAGGGTATCGTTTGCAGAATGCAATGACCTGCGACCCCAGAGATGACGACCTTTTCCATCAAGTTCCTTGCCTCCCAAGCTAGCTTTCTTTCCTAGTCCCATTGCCATTTACCAAGCCAGCATGGCCGCCGACCGCATCTCGTCCTCGACCAAGAGCTCTGTGTGCCTTGCTCCCGGGGCACGTTCCTCCGCTCAGACGCGCTCCCGCCCGTCGCCCGCCTCCCACTTGTCCAGCAGCCCGACGTTCCACTCCTTCAACGCCCGCTCGCCCGGCGGGAGTAGCCCGCTGCTCGCCCGCAGCCCCTCGGCCGCCGCGGCGATCGCCGGCGGCGGCAGGTTGACCTCCTGCACGTCCGACGTCATCGACTCGAGCATCGCGTCGGCCTCCTCCTGCGGGATCTCCCGGTACAGCAGCTTGATAGCGGAGCGCGAGGCACCGGCGCGCCTCGACGAGGAGGCGTAGACGATATGGCTGTTGAGGATCCACAGGTGCAGCGCAGGGGATGACGGCGACGACGACGGAAACGTGGGCACGACAACGGACTTGGACGACCCAGATCGCGAGAGCGTGGCGGTCAGGGCGGCAGCCAGGCACTCGGAGCTGGTGGGGGCCGCCGAGGGCGACGCCGTCTGGCAGGACACCTGCCACTTGAGCAGGACGACGGAGGCGATGGCGACGTTGAAGAAGCCGACCTGCGCGCCGCAACCCGCGCAGAACGCGTGGAGCATCCTCGGGGGCGGGTCGGGCCCGCCGGCCAGGACGGCCGAGCTGGTGGTGTCTGAGCTCGCGCCGCGGGACGGCGACGAAGAGAACTGGACGGGAGAGAGAGGAAACGGTAAGTAAAAAAGGAGGGAAAACGGGAGGGGAAGAGAAAAGGGGTAGAGGAGGCCGGCACATATATGTCCCTCCATGTAATCCCGGGGCTCCCACGTGCTCTGGGAGTCCCCGGTGAAAGCAAGAGGACTGGTCTCCGACCCGAGCGTGCCGACCCCGTCCGTCCACCCCGCGAAGGGAGGCCAGAGGTTTCGGCCGCGCCCGGGAAGCCTGCGCGAGGGCAGGGACGACGGGTGGATAGTTCATCTCGGGGCGAGGTATCGGTGACCACATCACTGAGCGGCAGCAGGAGCTTGCCTGATATGGCCGCCTTCTTAGCGCCCCGTTGAGTGTCGGAGAGGGAGAGAGAGAGAAAGAAAAAATGATTTTGTTCTTGGTTCAACATTTGCCATGAGCCGTGGGTACCGTGTGAAAATTTCAACTTCCATTTCGCCGTGAGATAATACTTAATCGGATTAGTAACCCTATTGATTAGTCCTGGGTACTTATGTTGACTTCGTAGGTTAGAGCGAACACATCACCTTCAGCGCAGTGCGGTTACCACTAGTATTCATCGTTTCATTACAGTACACTAGGCACCTCGAATGTTCCTAATCCGACTAGGCAAGAGTTTCTTCCGAGTTGATTCCAGAAATCATTACGTAATTCAGCTCACCTCGACACCAATATGACCACCTCGTTTGATAGTCATGCATCAGGACGCGGGTCTCCGATTTTCGACGGGGGATAGTCAATTGGAGTCATCTTAACCGTTAGCAGGTTTCGTAAAAAAAAAAAAAAAAAAAATTGGGAAGCAAAAGGGAGAAGAAGGAGCGTGTCACAGAAATGGAAGCCGCAGGCATGGAGCAAAAAAAGAAAGAAATTAAAAGACACAATAGAAGAAGCGAAAGAAAGAAAATAGAAAGCCGCTTACCTCCAGACCCGTGCAGTCGGACTCGGAAAACAGGAACGAGGTGAGGTCCACCATCCCGACGCCGGGCTGCGCCGCGATGCTCGAGTTGGCGCCGTACCCGCGCCTGGTGGCGAGGTGGTCGTGCTGCCCGTGCTCGTGGTCCGTCGGCTTATGGCAGTGCCAGAAGTCCATCATCTCAGCCCAGTTCTCGCTCGGCAGGTCTTTCCACTCCCTCGCCCTCCCGGGGGGCACCAGCGGCGCGGCGCAGGCCCTGCACGCGACGGCGGAGCCGGGGGCCAGATCCAGCGCCGTCCACGGCACGGGCTCGTCGTGCGGGCTGCGCGTCGTGAGCGGCGACGTGGCTGACGCGTCGACCGCCAGCGGCAGGCGCCATGAGATGGTGCGCGAGGCCTGCGGCGGGGCGGGCAGGGCGGCTCCGCGGGTTTGGACTCTGCCCGGGAGCGCGAACGAGGTGTGCGCGCCGGCGTGCTGGAGCTGGAGGGTCGCGCCGTCTGGCGTAATGAGGCCTCTCGTGTGGCTGCCCGCGGGTGAAGGCAGGGAGACCGCGACGGAGAGCTGACGGATGTTCGCGAGCAGCTCGGCGTATATGCTCGGCGTTTCATGAGACGCCATCGCGGGTACGAGTTTTGCTGATGGGTGAGGAACTTGAAGGTTGCGCGTATGAGCGTTGCGAGGGTGGATATGCTGAGGTCGGGTTTAAGATGTGCTGGGGGTGACGGGGGTGGGAGTGGGTCCGAGGGTAAGACTTAGCGCACCGCTCGCTCAGGTTCTAGCGTCTTCGGTCCGGGCTCAGCGCGCCGTTGAGGCCGGATGCGGGGCCCGACAGTCACCAGGTTGATATCCTTCCTCACCACCCACCCAGGATCTGGGTCTATTACGTTAACGCCGTGAAAAGGAATTACCACGAAAAATATCAGACATATCTGTGGATGTGGTATACCGTTCTGCGGAAACACATCAGATGGTAACCCCAGGATCTCTGTCAGCATCGCGGTTCGACGGCATGCCACATCCTCACCTACAGCGACAGCACCAGAAAGATGATGCAGAAATCGAGAGCGTCACACGGTGCGGTTGTCGTGGCGGCAGCAGCGGACAGGTCGAGATCCTCCAGACCCTCAAATGTGCCTATCATATACTCACCAAAGGCCCCGTTTCCCAGTCTCAGCCACCTTGGCTGTGGCCTCGGCCATGATGCCGCCGAGGTCAAAGAGGCTGCGCCTGGGGACGCGGCAAGAAGGTTGACGCGGTGAAATAAAATTACGAAAGATGCGTCGCTTGATCAAGCGCATGGTTGCCTCACTAGGCACCGTCGCCAAGTAGACATCAGCAGCGCAGCAGATACGTAACGTAACGATTGAGCACGACAATAGGGAACATGGGTTAGTGACAAGTGTTTGTGGCATCACAGATGCCATGGAGTCCCAAGCACTTGGGAGCGAATCGCCAAGATGGTGCTACCTCGGAGTGTTTCGAGCGGATTTGCCATATATACTCCGTATATATATATAAATCGTGCAGGTATTGCCAGACGATAAAGCTCTAGTATATAATCCCACGATTTTGTTATTGAGCTCCTAAAGGTCAGTATAACCAGTCTGAACTGTCAGGATGGGAATTCAGATAACAACTCGGATAGCAATTCAGATGGCATTTTAGTCGGGATTCCAATGCCATCTAATTGCTGATAGCTGAAAGAATGAACAATCACGCTGCTCAATACAGTCAACGACAGGCCGGCCTCGTCTTCCATATTTGCATGGAGATATTTAATTCAAAGAGTAGGGTATATGCGCTGATAAGCGGTTAGAATGTGGTGAGGACAGCTGAAATTGAGGAACCCCCGAAAGCTCTACCAGAGTCAGTCAGCCTTGGTTGATGGTGAATTTTGGTTACGAGATTCCACGATACTGTGTTTCTATCTAGAAGTCTCCTCTCGATACCAATGTTCCAGTGCACAGACCAGGCGCTTCTTCTTCGCACCGGCGTGCGTGCTTACCACCTCCCAAAACGGTTTAGTCCGGAAGCTCCAAGGTACCTACCTCCACTCAGAATTCCGAATTTCACCAGCCCAGCTTTCAGAATCAACATTGCGATACGGCCCGGTTCGACAGCACTAGACACAGGCATTTCCGCACACTCCAACAGGACAAGGGCCTCGGAACGTGACACGTCCACTCCACCTCAAGCTTCTTCCGAACGAGAGTCCACAGACGATCCTTCCCTTCCGGCCGCCGCAACAATGGCGACCCTCGGAGGCTACCTCAACAGTACGTTCCATCCAGCCAGTCAATGCCGCCGGCCTGCAGAATACTGACGCTCGACCCCCTCTAGAGAAAGTGCTCATAGTAACAGCGGACTCGAGAATTCTCGTGGGCACCTTGGAAGCCGCGGACCAGTCCACCAACCTCGTGAGCTCCTCCCCTCCCCAAAATAATGCCCCCTCCAATAATGATTGCTCCGAGCTGACACACGTTCGACGCGCCAGGTCCTCAGCAACGCCCAGGAGCGGGTGATCCAGACCCCCGAGAGCGGAGAGCCCTCGGTCCAGGTCCCCCTCGGCCTCTACCTCGTCCGCGGCGACAACGTCTGCACCATCGGCCTGGTGGACGAAGCGCTAGACGACAGCATCAACTGGACCGAGGTCAAGGGCTCCGCCATTGGAGGAACCAAGCACACATAAAAACAAGCCAACGACACCGACACGGCTTATGGGTCGGAATGGCAATTGTTTGATTACATCAATGATGTGTTTTGTTTCTTTATTGCGAGCGGGATACCCGAGTGCTGTTGGGAAGACGTGAGCTTTTGCCGCCGCGAGGCACGCGTGCACGCAAGAGCACAAGCACACAGGCACACACACACACACACACACACACACACACACACACAAAACAACGGCGTTAAATATGTTTGGGTTGGTAGAGAATGATATTGGGTTCCTACGGGGTATGCGCCTGCCTTTCCTCTATTCGGAATCTGCCACCAGTTTCTCAACGCTGTTGCGCTGACACGAGCGAACGAAAGCCGCCCGCAGCATGTCGGCCACGGGCTACTCGTTTCCGTCTTAACCAAAGATCCTCTTCATGAGATCCTGCGCGAACAGCTCCTCGCCGGGGGACTCGAGCATCCTGTTGATCCTGTTGCCCCTGCTGGTGCTGAGCCAGCCGCCAGCGTCGCCAGGGACCTCGGCCAGCGTCAGGATGTCAACGCCATCGTTGGCCTCGTTGGTCTCGAGGGTTGCCTCGGTGTACTTGGCACGGGTTCTGCGGTCGACGACGCACATGCCGCGCGTCCATTGGCCGGACGTCTCGACACGGATGTCTTCCGGCTCCGCAACGGGCTTCCACTTGGGGTCGGACTGGGTCAGCAGGTACCAGATGGTCAGGGGGTCATGCAGAGAGAGGCCGGGCTCCTCGCCGTCGCCCCTCATGGATTCGATCTTCTCAAACGTCTTGGACATGAAGTGGTTGACCCATTGGCCGAGGGGGCTTCCGGCCTTCAAGACAGGCTCGACGCGCTCCGTAAAGTAATTCTTGTTGAGAAGGTGGGGCGTGGTGATGTCGAGGGGGAACAGCGTCAGCTTGAGCCTTTTTGACAGCCTGGCCGGGTAGGGGGGGAGGGTGGACTGCTTGTCCGAGATGGGCGGCATCGTCGAACGGGGCGTCGGGGAAGTCAGGGCGAATACCCTGGCGGCCGCCACGGTGTCGGCAAAGGTGTTGAATTCGCCGGCGGGGGTGATGTTGCCAGGGACGTGGACGGCGCCGCCCATGACGCAGAGCTCCTTGACACGGAGGAAAGTTTCGGGATCCTCGGCTGCGGCGAGCGCGACGTTGGTCATCGGGCCGACGACGCAGATGGAGATGGTGTTGGGGGGGTTCTCCTTGAGGATGCGGAGGATCTCCTTGTGCGCAACCTGCTTGGCTGGCGTGAAGTACTCGGAGAAGGGCGACGGGTCGTGGTCGAGGTTCTCCTCGGTGTGGAAGAGCGACTTCCACCTCTCATCTGGTGTCAGGTGGGGGTGCTCGTCGTGGACGCCATGGAGGCCGTCGATTCCGTCTGCAGCAAGTCAGGGTCGGCACTTTGAGAGAGGGTGGTCCCGTGGGATCGCCTTACGGAAGTAGTCGGCGGCCAGCTCGTCGTCCTCCAAGGGGTGCTCGGCACCAACGGCCACGATGGGCTTGTAAGCCTTCAGTGCTTCAAAACCCTCGGACTTGCCATTCTCCTTGCGCCATGCAATCTCTTTCTCGAGGACGTGGAAGAGAGCAACAACGTTGCGTAAACAGCTATGTCGAGTTAAAATAAACAAGGTTGAGACACCAGCGGGGCGTAGTGCGCATACCTCTGCAGCGGCACGTTGCCGTATGTGACTGAAATCATCATGACCTCGAGCTCCTCGGGAGAAGCCGAGAGGGCCAGGAGCATGGCCAGAACATCGTCGATACCTGCATAAAATGATGAGCGTCTAGACCGCCAGTCGAACCGAATTTGAGCAAAAAAAACGCACCGGGATCGGAATCGATGATGACGCGGTTCTTGGGAGCCATGTCTAGAGTGGTTGAGAGCAAGTCTTCTCACGGATCAAATGGGTAGTGTGTTGTGAGTGTGAGAGAAAGAGGGTAACGTCACTAAACGGCCAGAGCCTAGGTAAACTTTCTCACGGGGGATACGGTAGGTTTTTGACGGACTCAGGGTCCATTTTATCCACAGTAACTGCTAGCAGTAAACGGCTCTGCTGTACGGACACAGTACACACAGCCTAAAGCAAGCAGGGATTGAGCAGGCAACTGGTGTGGCCAAAACCTCGGCAGGGCGCCCTCCCGTACACTAACTGCTCCGTCACCCGCTCTCTTTGAGCTGTTCTAGTGGGTTAGCTACAGCAGGTTAGCCCGGAGGGGCGGGAACCTGGAGTCGGAGGCCGTCGAGATCCGACGGAATTGATGTACAGGCATATACTACACAGTACTCCGTAAGGTAAGAGGGCAAGGTTGATGAGCCGGAGAGCGGGCTCCAGCGGACCCACGCGCGAGGTACGCCTGACGGAGATGGCCGGTGACCATTGTGTGTGTGTGTGTGTGTCTGTTTCGCCAGATCCGGCGCCGGGCTGCTGTTGCCCGAAGGCCTTCTTCCTGTCCCTTGCCTTTATTGCTGGCGAGTGTGTATAGATAGCCTGGTCAATGACGCACGCGCACACGTACAAAAAGGCATTGCCAGCGACTGGCGACCCCTCATCGTCAATGTCGATGGTGGGGGTGGCAGAGTGCGAGCGATGGGAGGGCAGAGCGCTAAGCCGCTCCGAGACCTGGGCACAGATCCAATGACAGGATCTGGAGGTGGCTTTTCCCAGCTCTTATCCCTTATCGCGGAGGCGTACAGTACAGTAGGTAGGTAGGTGCCTAGGTAGGTAGGTAGTGAGTGATCTGACATGCGTCAAGGTGCAACTCTCTCTGGGTAGACCTCCCAACATTGGACGAGACACGGGAGGGAGGCTTCGGGAAGTAAGAATTTACACCAAAAATACAAAAATAAAAAAGAAGTGAATTTAACCCCGAACAACTCTACCCTTTGTTCGAACTCTGAACCATCACATTGAACCGGGCCCTTTTCTCCGAGACTCCCTAGACTCGAACGTCAGACAGAGGGTGCATTGTTTGGCAGCGAACCATTGATCGACCTTTGTTCCAAACAACAAACACCCCCACCAGGACGCATCGACCAATCACCGTGGCGACCATCGAACGCAGAAGACAATCACGTGTCTTGAAAGCGGCACCATCTGTATCTCGCCTACGCACGTGACCTTCGCGTCGCATCTTCCCCCATCATGCATGCCCGTGCTGGAGGGGGACCCCTTAACTCCGGGTAGAGGTGAAGCTGTCACTTTGGATGACGATGCAGGAAATTACACAACAAGACGAGGAATAACCTCATCTTCCCCATCTCACCTCGGCTCGAGGGCGGACAATATGTCGTCGTCGATAAGCATCCCAGAAAAGTTAGTGCAATTGACTCTCCTAGTTGTTTCGCAGCGCCCAAGAGGACCGTCAATTCCCTCTTTTCCGTCTGGCAAGAGACACATCATTCACTTCCCTCCCCCATCCATCATGCCCATGCCAATGCCAATGCCCATGCCCATGCCGCCCTTCGCCTCTAAGCACAGCTCGGCTAGCCAGAAACGCGTCCCCCAAGGGGGAAGGGAAGGCTGCGCCGAAGAGGACACCAGGCCCAGTACGCAATTCCCGCCCTTGTCGTCGTAGTATGCACATTGGCCCTGGCGTGCGTGCAGCAGCAGCAGCAGCAGCAGCAGCTCCTTTGCGTTGGTTGGTTGGCCTTTGTATCCTTGGACGGGACCCTCCCCCCCCCAAGGCACCTACCTACTTTCCCCTACCTGAGCTATTTCCCCCGACTGGTACTGGACACTGGATCCGGACCATGGGCGCTGAGAAGCCACCTGGTAACTTTTTTCCTTGCCTGTCTCACACTCTCCTTGCCAAGCTACCTTTGCATCTGAACACGACATCCAGCCCGACTTTCAACCGCGTGGTCGAAACGCCTTCATCGCCTTTCTTCCCCCTTCTCTGTTTTTCTCCGCCGCCTGCCTTTGCTTCACCATCCACCCCGAGCATCATCGCTCCTCGCCTTTCATCTCCAATTAATCCATCAATCGAGCGCCCACATCTCCTTTGCGCCTGCCCTTTCTCCGTCTCTCTACCTGTATGTTGCTGATCGGCACGCTCGCCACCAAATGCTAAAGAGCCTCGGACAATTTCCACACCCCCGTCCAGAGCTTCGACGCGACTTGAACTCTATTGCTGACTTACTGTGAATCAGGATTCCAAACCTACCCATATCTGCTCCATCCAGTGAGCCACCGAACGAGACAATCGTATCCCTCAACGGCACCTGAGCTTGCGGCACTTGATCCGACAAGCTGCTGCCTGTGGCTGCACTGCACCCGCCTCATCGACCCTACCCCTTAATACATACCCCGTAGTGCTCTGCGCTACCAGCAACCGCAACAATGACGGCTTCCGACTTCTTGACCACCCAGACTGTGGGCGGCTACCTTGTCTGCTTCATGATTGCCGGTGGCTTCATCTACCACTACAGCAGCAAGAACAAGCCCGCGCAGGTTGCTAAGCAGGCCAAGGCATACGTCGAGCCCCGGAAGGACACCAACGCAAAGAAGCAGCGAAAGGCCGCCTTTGCTTCAAGCGCACCAAAGTCGACCACTGAGGACAAGGGCTCATCAAGCGCAGTCGAGACCTCCAACGCATGGCTGACCAACAACCCCAAGGACGACGTTGATAACGCCGAGTTCGCCCGGAGAATGGCCAGCATCAAGGAAGGCAAGAAATTCGACGGCAAGTCTTCGGGAGACTCCAAGAAGAAGACCAAGTCCGTCAAGCAGTCCCGTGCTGCCGAGAAAAAGCCTGCCGAGGTGGCCGAGAAGAAGGAGCCTGCTCCCGCTTCCGCTCCCGCCGTCGAGGCCGTCGAGGCCGTCGAGGATGTCCAAGACGGCTCCGCCGCCGCCTCGCCCGAGGTCACGCCTGCCGACCCCAGCGGTGTCAGCGACATGCTGGAGCCTTCCGCCGGCGGCCCCTCGGTCCTTCGCCTGACGGGAACCGACAAGGAGAAGCCCAAGGCCAAGAACCAGAAGGTTCCCGAGAAGGCCGAGACCAAGAAGCAGCGCCAGAACCGCCAAAAGGTCGAGGCCAAGAAGGCCGCCCGCGAGGAGGAGGAGAAGGAGCGCAGGGTCAAGCTCGAGAAGCAGCGCCGTACCGCTCGCGAGGCTGCCGGCATCCTCGCCAAGGACGGCTCTCAGTTCATGGCCGCCGTCAACGGCAACAAGTCCGCTTGGACCGCCGGCTCCCCCAACGGCGCCTCCCCCAACGGCGCTCCCCTTGCCGTGCAGCCTCTCGACACCTTCGAGGCCCCGGCCAAGAACGACGCCGCCCCGGCCCAGGCCTCCAACAACTGGATCTCGTCGCTCCCCTCGGAGGAGGAGCAGATCGAGCGCCTCAAGGAGGACGACGAGTGGAACACGGTCCCTGCCAAGTCGAAGAAGGCCAAGAAGGAGAACCGCACTCCTTCTCCCGAACCCGCCAAGGCCACCGCCGCTCCCGCCCAGTCCCGCCCCGTCGCCCAGGCTGTCCAGAAGCCCGCGTCGAACGGCAAGGCCGCGAAGCCCGTCCAGTCCAACTTCGGATCCTTCTCCGCTCTCAGCACCGAGGAGGAGGAGTGGGATGTATAAGCGGCTTCCGTCGTCGCGAACGTCCTTGTCCAGGATATTCCGCCTTCAGACACGCACCCTTTAACGTTGTCACATTCTCCTCGCGTCGTCTGACTGTCACGTGTTATTCTAACTGTAAAATACTTCTTCCTGGAGTGCGGAACCATCTAAAATGACAAATGAAAAACTTTTCATGCATCCCCTTTTTCAACATGATGGAAGGGCGCCGAGCTTGCGACGATCGCGTTCCGCAAGGTGGCGGGTCTGGTCGGGAGGGCCCCCCATGGCTTTCCATCGCGTATACACGAACACAAAAAGATCTCAGCCGTGGCACAAGGTCTGGAGTTGGGCGGGAGGAGAGGGGACGAGATTGGCCAGCGGGCTGAGTGGTTTTCACATGCTTTCCTTCTTCTCGTTTCGACCCCGAGACCCGGCTATTGATTGATTGGAGAAAACGAAAGGAGTGTGATGCGAGATGACGATTGTCTACGAGGAAGTTGGGCTTATCAGTCTCGGCCGGGAAGAAATCAAAATGGAAAAAAAGCCTTTCCCTAGGGGAGAGAGCAGAATGGATTGAATCACATGGCAAAAAGGACCATGGCATCTTTCAGTCTTTTTTGTGTGCATCGGCGCGGAACAGCGCTAGATACTTTCAATAGGTTTTTCTTTTCCCTTGAACGGTTTTTTTTTCTCTCTCTCCCTCCCTCCTTTGCTTCCCTTCTCGGCCGTTTACCCGGCGGTGAGCCCGTTCGTCCCTTGTGACTTGTCCACGCGCCTCCCGCCACGCTACCGGGATGGCGCCGGCTCGAGTGATGAACTGGCCATCTCCACGTTTATGCCGCTGCTGCGTGTTCTCCAGTCCCGTCTTGACGATTCCGACGGCCTCGTGCGACGTGATCGGATCGTGGGCCTGGTCGATTCGGACGCACGCGCGTGTGAGATAGAGAGAAGGTGGGCGGGGGGAATCCGGGGTAAGGGTGTCAGTCAGTCGGCATGTGAGAGGCTCCCGTCACCCGTTCCAAATATCCGTTCATCGCGTGCCCTTTGCCTACCTCTTACCTAGCTAGGGAAGCGACTAACCCCCCCTCTCGTGGCCAAGCAGGCGGCGCAGTGGACGGACGGGATTCACCATGTGGATGACAGCCCCGCCCCTCCGCCCTTCGGGTGGTGCTGTGAGTGTGGTTTTTTTTTTTTTTTTTGGATGGACAAAAAGGGAGAGGGAAGTAAGTGTTTTTTGCTCGTTGACCGCCTTCCGCCGATGGGGCCGCGGGTTCCCGGCCCTCCAAAGCCAATGTGCTCACGCGCGAGGCGCGT